ACATACATACATACATACATACATACATACATACATACATACATACAGCTTATAACTGTACTTATAATATAGAATGAATATGACTTATGACTGAATTTAGGGGGACATTATCGCTTTAGGAATGCTTTTATTGTAGAATATGTTTCTGTCCTTGTACAAACATTTAAAATCTCAGCACTTTGAATCAGACACTGTCTGACCCTCTTGCCCATTGACATTGCCTGAGGTGCATTAAATGAACAAACTAATCAATAAATAAAAGACAAATCTTTCTGGATGAGGGGTTGCAGTGGCTGTTCCTGCCACCAGAGGGAGCACCGTAGCTCCACCCTTCATAGCTGTCTCCTTCAACCGCCTTCCTTCTTCGTCGCGTCGGTCACGCTGCTACAAAGTCGCCGGTCCCCGAGCTCTGTCAGAAAAGCCTGAAAAATGAAGATCTGGGCGTCAGAGCATATTTTCAAGTGAGTGTACTATTCGATAAAAACGTGACTATAACATGCGCGTCTGCTATGTAGCGGTTTTCCAGTTTTATAATCACTCCTGATGGTTTCCTGTTAGCCTCCTTTGCTGCTAAGGTGGCGGATAAGTTAGGTAACTCGGCATGAAAAGACCCAGCTGAACGTTACCTACTCACCATTTGTGACTGGGTATTTATCAGTCTTGTTAAAAAGTGCAATGTAATAGAATATACTTTAAACGCGTCTCTGTATGATTATATTTATTTATTTTTACGGTGAAAGCAAACAGTTGGTTAACTCGGAAGTTCGCATTAACCTGCTAACATTCAAGCTAACTTTTGCTGCAGGCTTTTGTAGACGCTGACTAAAAAAACATTTGTATGTTTTAAATCCACACGCCAGCATTTTGCTAGAAAGTTACGGGAGTCGGAAATGTTAACGTGTTGTCGCGTGTCTTGCATAAACCACGGGATCAAAATCCACCCGTGATATGTGCCTCTTCGGCATTACATAACTGCCGGGGTGCCTTTCTGCCTTCGCACCCGAGACTCTGCCATTAAATGCCAGGGTTTGTTTATATACTGCGTCTCTTTAGACGCCGAACACTCATAGATGCGGAACAATGGTCGGTTCTCTTTTGTCCGTTTCTAGAAGTTTCTTGGTAAGCTTGTACGTAGTGATGCAGGGAGTCTGCGCAGTACGGAGGGGGGGGGCGTTCCTGCTCGTGGATGTCGGCGCCTGGCATTGACTCGTTTCGCAATTGTTTGACACAGTGCGGTTCTGACCCACTTTCAAGATATAAGAACCTCAATGAATTTTTTCCTTTACTGCAATATGGTCTGCTTCAGTCCCCGTCTGAGTGACTGCGTTCAAATGAATAAAATCCGGCGGACACGAGGGACGATGTGTATACACGTTAATGCAGATTTAAACAAACAAATCCTTAATATTTACTTCTCAAAACAAAACGACCTTCTTATGTTAGCAGTTTCGTAGTCGGTGTTTTATTTTTTTGTTTTTATATCTAAATAGTTCTTTAAATTCCCCATTTGCATTAAACCCAGTGAAAATATACAATTTAGTTTGCCAAGAACAGTCAATGCCTATATGATGAATTTGTATGGGAGGCAGTAACTTTATTTCTGATATATATAAAATTTCCTTTAAAAGTATTTTTCTACAGAGGGATATTGATGAAATCACAATCAACTTGCATGGGGGCATACAATGATTGATCAATAATGTTTAAAGCCAATGCATGTTCATTATTCTTGAGGAGTTTTCAGTTTTATAACTGGTGTCTTGTTATAGCCATCCATGGGAGACGGTGACCAAGGCAGCGATGCAGAAGTACCCCAACCCCATGAACCCCGGTGTGTTTGGTGTAGATGTTCTTGACAGAAGCGTTGACCCAGAGGGACGGTTACGCAGCACCAGACTGCTCAGCACTGAGTGGGGGCTCCCGGCCATGGCAAAATCTGTAAGTTAGACCACGAGAGGAGAAAAATCTGTAAAGTGACCCCCACATTTAAACAAAAGGTTTGACTTGTTTTCTTTCTCCCCGTAGATGATTGGGGTTACAAGAACATGCACTTACGTCCAGGAACACTCGGTGGTGGACCCCAAAGAGAAAACATTTGAGCTCCAGTCCACAAACGTAAGTCGGACTGCCGCTTGGTTGTAGCCATAAGTGGACCCATCCTCACCACAGCTCAAACAAACATAAATTATACTATTAATAACTTTTTTTCCTGTTATTTGCCAAATCCAGTTCAGGACTAGCAAAGTATCCTGTGTCATTCAGCTACACTCTAAATGCTAAACTTGTTGAAGTGGGTTCTGAGATTTCAGACCCCTTCGGACGGTTGATTCCTTACTCTGTTGCATCTGACTTTTATTGAGTTGTCGCAGCCATTCACTTGGCTTCCTGGCCGTGTCCACAGCGTGAAGATTTTTTTTCATCACCTGTGTTCAGATTGAAACTTTGCTGTTTTGATAGCTTTAGCATATTTACACAATAGTCTCACACAATGTTGGTATAGTTAGCTTTCAATAACTTGTTCCCCCTAAGAAAGGACCCGTAAATATTCAAGTCATTTGAATAATTGATTTATATTAAGACTGCAATGCTGGAAAGAAAAAATGAATAATTTCAGTTTCATTTTGTCCAACCAGATCTCTTTTACCAACCTTGTGTCTGTGGATGAAAAGTTGACGTACAAGCCACATCCACAGGACCCTGAAAAGTAGGTGATCCATTTTTCTTTGAGCACTATCAACCGTCTTGTCTTTTTTTTTTTCATGCACTGACCCCTGTCACTTGCCTGAGAATTTTTTGTGCTCAATTTTTCTACCAATTATTTGTTTTACATTTTTATTTCTACTATTTATTAATGGTTAAATGTATTTTGGACTGAGGGACTGATGACCTGTATTTAACTGGTGTGCTCAGGACGGTGCTGACCCAAGAAGCTTTGATCAGCGTGAAAGGCATCAGTCTGAGCAGTTATCTCGAGGGTCTCATGGCTAAGACCATATCTGTTAACGCTGGCAAGGTTGGCACTGCTTCAAAGTCTCCTCATTACTGACTTTAACTATGAATCTTTTTTTTTATATATCGTATTTTACTGACTTGCATTTGTAAAACTTTGCTGTGGCAGGGCCGAGAGGCGATGGAGTGGGTCATCAGACGATTAAACACCGAAATAGAGGAGCTGGCAGCCACTGCTCGTGGCTCCATGCGTGTTCCCATGGCAGCAGCTGTTGCGGATAAATGATACCAGCCTTCTCTGGACTTACACCGCCATCATGAACCGATGGACCTCTCAGCCCTTCCCCTCAAAGGGGACGTCTTATCTCATCTGCCAACACAGCCTAAGAAACCGCAGCTCCATCCACAAGTCCTTCATTTGTTTGTCATTGTTTTGTTTTCCCACAAGAATACGGTTTGTCCCTCCTCAGCAGTCTGTGCTGACGAGTCTCCATTTGTCTCTGTGGGTGGGGACGAGGACTGTTGAGCTGATGACAGTTTAAAAAAAAAGAAAAAAAACCTAGAACAAACAGGGTTGAATGGGACTGCACTTGAAGCTCATAGGACTTTGTCTTGTGATGTGAAGGGTCTTTAAAAATCACACTGTGCCTCCACATCTTCTCATCGGTGTCAACGTATCCATCAGACTCACCTTCGTCTCTAACGTGTCATTGTAATTTCAAAGCTTTGCTAAGCGGTTCAGTACAGCTGAGGTTCCCTTTTTGTACGTTTTGTGGACCTCGCCTTTAACTGTAGGCCTGGCCAAAATGTCTGAACATCAAGCTACCAGCACGATTTGGTTCGGAGAATAGCTCAAAGTATGGGAAACTGTAAGTTGCTAAAGGACTCGGCCAGACATCACATGAGGTCAGATTTGTGCTATCGGGATGTTAAAGGTATGCTTCAATGTGTGTTAGCACTCCTGTAATGAACTCGTTTCCTGTCAGAGTAGATCCGGGACAGAAATGCGGGTCCCTGGGGGTTTTAAAGTGGCGCTGTAACTCCTTAGATTTGGGCCACTAGGCCTGAGGTAAATCGGGCTGTTCTGACTGCAGGCCTCTTCTCTCTGCGGTGGGTTTGCGAGAGGGCAGATTGAGAAAGTACTTGACTTTTCGAAGTCACTTTGCATTTTACAGTGATGATGTGCTGTGGAGTTAAGTGTTTCAGTTTAAGAATGTTTATACTTGAATGTGTAACTTATTTTCAGCATGTCTACCTAACGTGGCAGACGGACTTGGATGGGTATTGATGTGAATGTTGTGTGTGTGTGTGTGTGTGTGTGGGCATTCACCATGTTTTGATGGGCTGTGAACGTATGCAGTGTCACTGACTGTGCCAACATATGATGTAAAGATTCAAATAACTACATCACAGCATTTTAATATTCCCCAACACTTTAGTAAAGCTCTTTTTTTTTTTTTTTTAAAATAACAAACCCTCTTTGTATGTTTTGACTGCTTTATCTTCCTGTCTTGTCAGACTAGTTTTTCCTGTTTGTAATGGTGAACACTGACAAAGGCTGTTAAACTTTCTGATAACCTACCATCTCGTGTTGGGCAAGTAAAAGTTTGGCTTTTACATATTTCCCCTTCTTATCTCATTGAGGACTCTCAGGTGCTACATTTCTGCCCTCCATGTCAACATCGATTTAAAAAAAAAAAACCTTCGGGTGACCTGGATGTAACCCTCTGGTTTGTTTGCCCAAAGCTCTCTCATTTGCAGAATTGAAAGTTTGCATTTAGAGGAGGTGAGGCCCAGCTAAAGGTGTGATCCTGTCGCACAGCTCAGCACCAGCACGAGTCTCCTCCAGTGCTCCTCGCCCCCAGTATCCGCACACAAAGGCTTGTTCACAGCCGTCTGTTCTCATTATCTGTCATTCTGTCTGAAGTCTGCTCTGGTCCGATCAGCCAGTTTAGGTCTCGTCCCATGAAGTTTGACGTTTTTCTACGGGGAACATTTTAAAAGCAGTGGCTGTAAATAGGCACTTATTTATTTTGTGATGGTGTTACATTCCAAGAATGTGAACATGTAACAGGATCTAACAAGTGCACACGGAAATGTTTCAGAATAAAGAGATGTCATTGTTTCATGAAAGCTGTTCCTGATCTTTTGTGCTAATCAAACACCGCACGTGTACTACAGGACGAATGTCCAGTTTGAATCACTTTTAGAAGCCTACGTGGAAAATCTTTAGAAGGGGGAGCGACTAGTTGTGCTGGTTTGTTTTCTATGGGAAAAATAACAACCTTTAGTAAAAAAAAAAGATGACTTGAGTAATGTTTTAATGACAAGTTTGGACAGTACTTGACTAGTTTAGCATTTGTAAGTGAGTTGATTTGAACAGAAAGTTGTAAATGCGTTTCCTTAAAAAAGTTAAGAATCTTTAACAGTAAGTCTGTAGAAAGGCAGATTCAGATGAAGAAAGTTTTGTTTTGAATAGGTTGGGGCTGAAGTGATTTGAAGATCATTGGTCATCGTTTGTCAGATGAGGCTTCCACCTGGCAGTATCAGTGCATCTGAAGATACTGCTATGAATCCCTGTTTGGGTGCAAGACAACGATCAGCACAAAGGTTTACTCTAAAACAAGTAGAATCAAGATTATACTCGTCAATACTGACCTCCTCCACCGTCAAAACCGAGTTAACCAGCTGTGCGTGTTTCATTCTGGGTAGAATAAAACCTTTTTCCAATTTAGCTGAAACAGAAATGTTAATTTTAGCTCAAAATATACTTCAGTCTGGTTCAGTCAGTAAAGGATGAGCAAGTGAAACCTAAAAATCAGCAAAACTTCAACAAACATCAACTAATTTTAAGAATAATTGATGTCTGAATAGTTAAACAATCCGGAAAGAGCTGAGAATTGTACAAAATGATGCAATTGATTCTCACCATTGACTTGTGGTAAGACCCCAATCTTCAGTGCCCCCTTTAATGCGCTCTCCAAGGCTGCGATCTGCAAAAAGAAATGGGCTGTAAAACGGGAGGGCAGTAAATAAGTGAGGAGCGTATCTACTATTTACCTTAACAGGCCCCACTTCGCTTGACACCAGAGCCAGCGTCAGACTGAGAGAGAGGAGAATCTTTGAGATGCAGTTTAAGGGAGTTTCAATGGTGAGTTGTTAAATTAATTTCAATACTCACTTATCCAGCATCACCGAACCTTTCAGTAATTCATCAGCAATCAACATTTTACCACTGAGTTCTGAATCCTAGAGGGAAAAAAAGATGTATTCCTGTGTTATTACCATAATAAATATTTTTCTTCTATGAGTTAAGTTAGCTATACTTGAAGCCAACTTTACATAAATGTACGAGGTATTTCTGTACTCACAGCATTCAGCTTGAACAGCGGGATCTGGGTACCGTTCGGCGCGATGGCAACGGCTTTCACGCAGACTTGAACATCCAGTTTAACAGCACCAGACTGGATGGAGAACACTGGAGACTCTCTGGCGTAAACTTGAAGATTCATTGCTAGGCCTGGAAACCGTTTTGGAAGCTGAATAAAGGAACAACAGTTTATGGGAGGGGGCGGAGTAAAAAAAAAAGGAAATATTCTATCATTTGTTTTGAAGCGACAAACAAGAGAAAGAAAAGCTTTGTAAACTTTTGCACATTTCATCTGAGCTGAAGAAACCATTTACAAATGATTATGTGACAGTCAGTATTTACCAGCTGTAAACCTTTGTTACTGTTTACCAAAGTGTGAGCAATACTTTCAGTCTTTTGAATAATAAGAAAGAAAGAATTAGATCCAACTGTCAAACTTTAAAAAATGACATATCTCTAAACAAATCTTACCTCAGGAATGAACAGTCCCATTGAACTGGTATTCAGGTGGACAGGAGAAAAGGGAGGTATCTGAATTGATAAAAACATTTCTGAATAAGGAATGTGTTTACAAAAGAAAGAGATCGCTGCTGGACCTAAAAAAGTGCTTTTATGCCTAAATTACAGTCGTGCAGCCCTTTGGTCATACCATGCTGTCAGTGATGAGGGCCTCCAACGCTCCCGCTGAGAAGTATCCATATGAGGCCGAGTTCAGGGTGAACTCAGACAGCCCCAGTGACACCATGTACCCCGGCTGCTCAGTAAGGTTGAAGGGTTTGGCTACAAAAGGTGGCTCTTTATGGGTTTTAGTACTGTAGAACTCCCCCTTTAAATAAAGAAATGCAAATGGTTATTTACAGCTTTTGAAACTAACCCACCTCTGTTGTTTTGGCATATTCAGCTAATATTAAACTTTTAATTTTATTAATACGTGAACAGATCAAGTTATTAGCCTAACAAGAATGTTAATTATGTGAAATACCCTGTACTAAATCTGTGTTGTTACCTTGAGACCAAACTTCAGACTTGAAGCACTGACGATGGGCGAGTCATTGAGAGGAAGATCAAGAGTAAGAACTTGATCCACATCATAGGAAACTAAATGGCATAAAATAATGTATTTTTAGTCATTTAAAAAACATAACTATAAAGCCCCTTTTCTTTTAGTATTGGTCCAAATCAGAGCGACACACTGTGCCTTTCCATTCCTATTCCTGTCACTGTGTGTGAGGCTGTGGTGTGCTGCAATACCGTTCATGGTCTGTAGATGGTACTCCAAACTGTCAATGGATTCATGAACAACAGGACAGACCTGAGGAGGAAATGAAACACTGTTCAGCATCACAAAAAATCTCTGTGTTACTGAAATGGTGTTTGTATTAAGGGAAATGTGACACATTGCTGCAACCTAAGCCAGAGATAATATCATATAAAATATAATATAAATAATTTTGTAAGAAAAAACAACAAAAAGAAAAAAACTCACTTGTCTTTCCATTTCCTCAATCATTTGCCGTTTGAAATAGCCCACAAATTTATTGAATACCCAGCTAATAAAAAGAAATACAAGGTGAGTTTTTGGTGTAATTGTCACTAATCCAAATCCATTTTTCTCTCTGTTACGGTACCTGGCTCCCCCACGGAAACGAACATTTGCATCTCCAATTCTGGCGTTGCAGCTGATGCTGGTGACAGACGGATGCCCGTTAGCATCCATGCCCAGCGCCACCTCTGAGGTCACCCCCAAGTTAAATATAACCATAGAGAATGACCCGCTGTCATGTCTGAAATACAAAGTACACTGACCATTGGTGCTGGTGTCATTTAGCAGGGGACCACATGAATCCACATGAAGTGCTGAGGGTCTATCATATGATCTTTATGGTAAGATATATCTGATCAAAAACCTTTTTTAGGGAGCAGCCTTTCCTTGTGGTCCTATTTCTTACCCACCCAACTGAGAGATTTGCTTAAAATACTATCGGCAAGTGAGCTAACAATATTGCCATCAGTCTGCTAACAGCTCTGAGCGTTGGACCAAACAACACATGTAAATCTGGAGATTGACAGATAAAAACTGTTTAATAGTTGTCAATAAATCACTTGAACTGAGTGTGCTGATCCGATTTGTCTTTACTTTCAAATTCAGCAGATGCAAGAGTGAAGAACAGGAAATCACCAAAACTAAACACTTCCTCATTTTTACTGAGAATGTTAACAGAAATTTTTGATGTAGTCACAAGGACGTATTTTTTAAAGATATTTCCTGATGATATGCAACTTGTGGAGTTAAAAAACAAAGATCCCAGTCTTCCTACTGTTATATAGTTATTTATTCCGTTACTTTAGAATATTAATGCATTTATTACATAGATTGAATGTAAATAGACATATTTTCTTATTTTAACTTCAAATCCAGTGTGACTATCTCTTCATGGGTATATGTGTGCAACTTGAACATAAACCTGCAGGTTGGTCAGATTGCATCAGAAGTCCTGGGCATTAGTCTTTTCCCAGAATGCAACAGGCGTTTAGCTATCCTCTCAATAGTTAAAGTGACATACATTGCGAATACTGCACTAAAAATCAAGGTAATTGTAGACCAACGCTAGTAGACTACTTACAATATGCCAAAGCTTGTCTTCCACCTTCCAGTTAGAGCCGCGTTGAAGCCTGAGATGGATGCCGTCAATCCGTTGTGTTCCTGTGAGAACATCACAGAAGGCTCTGGAAAGTCACACTTAGTTATCGTGACACTAGATCACATTTGGGAGAGAGAGGGGAAAACATGAGGTGAGCTTACTAGATAAAGAGTAACTGACTACATTTCTGTAACATTTGTACACTTGTATGTAAATGCATATTCAAAAACATCAAATGTAATCCTACCCTGTGAACGTGTAGTGTATTTTTCCCACATGAATGTCAATCGCACCGCTTATGTCAGGAAAAGTGACATGCTTCAACATCTCCTGAATAAGTCCGGCCACTACATGCTTCCCTGGTACGAACAGGGAAACCAAGAATTTTCAGTTTAAATTTAAACATCCCAATGAAAAATTCCATGACGTGTGTAAACACAGAAAGTAATGATCAATTCAAGTTTGCCTTACCATACTGTAGCCCTTTGTTGCTCAGCGTGGCTTTTATTGCAGGGTTCTCTCCACAAGTGCAAGACAGAGTCATGAGCATTGCTATCAAAAAGGAAAGCATTTTGTTGGTCCCCCGACGGCTGCTGTGCTGCTGAATGGTCAGGTGTGAAAGTAAAACGGCAGCTCAGGACAATCAAAGAACTACTGAGCCAATCTCAGCATCTGGAAAAAAGAATTACGAAAAATCAAAGAGTGCCAACCCATCTAATTTGTGCCGTTAGACATCATTACCTGCAGGGAAGGCTGAATAATTCGGTTGAAAGGGAGCTCCAGATGCCTTCTCTTCCTTGAAACACCCTTTGTGTTCGCCTGTCTACTTTTAAGCAGCTTTTACTTCCTTTACCTTGTTACAGAGAAGTGAAACTCAGTGACATCTGACAATAGCTGTCGAATTGCTTTTCTTCATTGGAGTGTGGGTTGTGATGGTGTGAGAAACTGCTCTGACTCAGTTCTGTCTTTTTCATGTGAGTAAAACTGTTAAGACCATACAAGACTGACATAAACTGGAGGTGAGGTGAATTGAGAGACAGTCAATGCAGACTGTGCATATAGCCGTTGGTGTTTTGTGAAGGTCTTAAAAAAAAACAGTCCATGTCATTTTAAAATCCTGGCCTCAACTGGGCTTTATGCTTCAGAAATGCAGAGAAACCAGATCTGAAGAATTGTATACAAGTTTGACAGGGTTACTTTGGTCAAACTTTGTTTTACAAGAGCAGTATCACTTTATCAGACCAAATCATTTGAGGTGGTGACACCCAGCCCTTCAGTCTCATCTAGAATATGATCTCTGTCTAAAGAGGAAACTTAAGTTGACCTTTTAAAAAAAACTAACAAAAAAAGGAAGTTTAGCAGATCACAGCAAAGTAAAAATAAAATCAGTCAAATCACGACTGCTGCCCCCTCAGCCATTCTCTCACTACAAGCAAAGAAACATTAGAATCACCAGCCACAAAATACTTGATTTATTTATCTCTTAATTCAACAAATACTCTTTGTCTCACACACCATGATTAGTTCCATTAAATCACGATTAACAAGTTCAATAGGAACAAAATATTATCAGACAGATACTGTTATATAACACAATTAGGACCCACTTTCTTGCACTTATTCACTTCATCCAGAATGACACTTGAAACACCAAAAAAACAAACGAGCCAACGGGGACCACAACAAGACTGGCATAAGAATGAGAAAGAAAACACAAAACCATTAGAAAAGAATAATTCAGTTCAAACCACTACACATAAGTTAGTCATGGTTCATGGAGCACCATCTGAGCTGATGGGTGCGTTTTGTTTTCTCTGAAGTGGGATTAATGATACCTAGCAGCTCAAAAAACCAATAACATTTTCATTCCATTGTTTTCCACATATATCATTCCCCAGATAAAAACACTTACACACTCACGTTAGACCCACGTTGGACATTTTCACTGGATCGTTGCAAGAAGACTGAGACCTGGAGAGGCTTTTTAGGGCCTGCATAACCACCCCCTTCCACGTGGAGATTCGGTTCCTCTGTCCAGTCATTCAAACTTTTTTTTCTGGAAGGATTAACTACTTTACACTATGACTGTAGAGTTTATTATTGCACATTATGACGAAGGCAAAATAAAAAAAGATGTACATTTCACACAAATAATCCCCCTCATGAGATTGGATATCAAGTTGTCTATGTGTTTTCTTGAACTTTGAGTCCTTTTATAGGGCATTAATATTCAACAGAGGCCCTCTCTGGAGCTCTCAGTCGTGGATATCGTACGTGTACGCCTCTATCAGTCCTTCAACAGAGTGAATGAAGCCAGATATGGCACATATGCCCCCGATAACAAAAATGGCAACGTCAAAGAAGACATGGTGCCAGAGGAGATTTCTCCACTGGAGCTTGAGGTGGAAGAGGCTTGGCAAGAGGAAGCACAGGCCTGCGCCAGTCAGGCTGCCAGTTAAACCCATGAGGAGGGCGAAATGAGGGACGAAGATCGCCATGAGCAAGGTGAAGACTACTAGGACTATTCGAAGGCCCAGACCCCAGGTTTTCAACTGCCCACCGGGGCCGTAGCAGTCAGGGAAGAAGGCTCGCCCACCGTCCTGGAAAAAGGATTTCTCCAGAACTTCAACCGCAGCAAAGAAGGGTAATGGGTAGGACAGCAAAGCTTTGGCAACAAGGAAGATGTTGACCACTGCTCGGATTGTGGACGGCAGGTTATCTGTGATGACCTCTTTGGTGGCATCTGCCCACGTCAAGTAGGCCACCAGAGCAAAGAGGCCCTTGAGGACACAGGCAGAGATGTGAGTCCAGTCCATCATGCAGTGGAACTCACTGGGCTTCTGCATGTTTCCCTCCAGGGAGGGGAGGAAGATCTGGGAGGTGTAGCTGAACACGATGATGCCGATGGAGATGGGGAATTTCTTCACGTCGATGTAGAACTTCACCTTCTCCCAGGCCCAGTCTCGAGCCCTGGAGAGGCAGTAGGCGATCACGAGGATGTTGATGACGAAGTGCGCCAGGGTGCAGAGCAAGCTGAACTTGGACACGGCCTTGAGGTTCTTCAAGAAGGCACAGGGCAGGAGGGCCACCGTGGCCACCACTGACCAGGCCTTCTGGGAGACGGGAAACCCCGGGAAGCTGTTGTACATCAGGTTACCGCTCACCACCACGTAGAGGATGCAGGTCATGATGAGCTCGATGATCTGGGCCACGTTCACCACGTGGCCGCCCAGCGCGGGGAAGCGGGGCGCGCAGCAGGCGTTGGCGATGTCCACGTAGGAGTCCCTCACGCGCACCTTGATGCCGTCCTCGTTCTCCTCGTACAGGCAGGCGATGAGGATCTTGCCGGTGTAGCAGCACACCACGGCCGCGAAGATAATGAGGAAGAGGCCGAGGTAGCCGCCGTGGAGGATGGCGTACGGCAGGCCGAGGACGAACATGCCCTGCGGACAGAGAAGCGCAGCTGAGCGGTAATGGACGGGGCCCACATCGCAGTGACAGGCCGACCGGGCCTGGCGTGCCAGGGTGTGCGCACTGAGCCCCCGTCTTACATAAGAAACAGCCACAGATTATAGCGTATATTTTTTTTGCCTTCAAACGAAAATATCAATCCCGGAAAATGAGTCTGATTCATTGTTTTCTCTTTTTTTTTTTGCAAATTAATCCCCCCCCTTTAAACGCATTTTTCGCCGAATGCGTAAAAATCGATACGTTATTTTAAAAAAGGCGTCTTGAAACGAATTTTTCATTTTCTTGGATTAAAAGTTTAATTAGATAAAGATGCCGATAAGCACGTGCCATTCACCCTCACGTACTATCAAAGTCAAGCAGGCCTGCCTGCAGCTCGCTGATAAAAAGATTTGAATGAATTAATATTAAGGCCCCTCACTGCCATGGATTCACCCACACACCGTGAAAGAAATGTGGAATTGAAGCTAGCATTTAATCAAGTAAAAGAAAAAAAAAACAACCTAAAAAAAACAACAACATACCAATTAATTATCTGTGGCTATTTGACCGCTCGAAATGATTTTACGCGTCGACACACAGCATCATTTATTCTGATCACATCTGCAGTGACGCCCTCGTTCTCTTTGCCTGAAATGGTTCATAGCTAAAATATACAAATCTTCAAGGTGACTTTTTGTCCAGTTAGGCCCAATGCCTGCATCATGCTGCAGTTTTTTTTTCTTTCTCCCACTTGCAGACAGTAGTCACGGCCTACCTGAATGGCATTGGTCACGTTCCAGCCGGCTTCCCATGACGTGATTTTGGGCTTGTCCTCCTCCAGAGAGCCCCCGGTCTTCAGGGAGGGCCGGGGGCCGGTGCCGTCCCTCTGGTAGTGGCTGTCTCCCTCCAGACCCTCCTCTCCTTCCATGTCTCCCCCTTCCTCTTCTCCCTGGAGGACGTCCATTTGCATCCCTTGCCTGTAGTCATAATCCAAGTCGTCGCACTCGGCGAAACCCAGACCCTCCTCATCCGTGGCCGCCTGGAAGCCCAAACGGGCGAACACCCCGCTGACCTTGGCCTGAGATTTGTTTGACACCGTGTGGGCCGCGTTGGTCAGTTTATTTGAGAGCTTGTGCCGGATTAGGTGAGCCATTTTTTTTTTTTTTATCCCAGAGAAATGTCGTTCTTATACGTCGAAAAAAAAGATATGACAGAGCAAAAAGCGCATGCAGTGAGATTTATTTGCTGTTTGGCTGCAACATCAAAATCATGCCTGTTGCCTCGTCGATGTCGTCGCAGGGTAAGAGATAACCAGCTTCTGATGTCAGCCAAAACGTTTCATCCAAAAGCGTTTCAATAATTCCTCAGCCCCTCTTCTTGGCTTCATCCATATTATTCCTTAAGAAAGCCCTCCTTGACATCTGCCTGGACGAAGAAATGCCTCAAAACAGGAGGGGAAATCAAACGTGTGTCCTCATTTGCTCTTATTATATCAAATTTGGAATTTAGAAAATAAGATCCAGACAGTCTTGTCAGTTTGGAGTCCAGTTGGTGACAGCGCGAGCGCTGGAACCTCTGCATCAGCCAGAAAGAAAAGAGGGGGGGGGAGTAAGGGGAGCGTGCACGTGTCCGCATAGAGTGGCACAGCTCTCGCGCTCCCGACGCGTGCGCGCATCAGATGCATTGTCACGGGTGGCAGAGAGGGAGAGGTTTACTCCCACGGCAGGAGTTTACCGGCAGAGTGAACATGGAAAAAAAAAAGAAGAGAAAAGAGACCAACAAAAAAAACGGTTCAGGCCCTTTTGAAGGCTGCAGCGTTTGTGCACCACGCGCCAACCAAACCACCATTCACCTGCTCTCACCTGCACTCTGGCAACAGGTCAACGCACAAAGCCACCCACAAACACCCACCACCACCCACCATCAAACATGTTCTCCACTGCAGTTCCTACGCTTCATTTATTAAGATTACATTATTTTTAAGCAAAATAATTTCCCTCGCTGCTCATTACCACAGACTGTATAGAATTAACACCACAAGTTGACCACCTAGCTTTCGAGGGGAAAATTATTCCCATGTTTTACGCCGTTTTTTGCCAGGAAAAAAACATAATTTACGCCTGGCCTACTCAACTGTATTCTAATAAGTGAAATGAATCTCAAATTCGCTAAATGAAGCATGCAGTCTGCACCTCCCTGCAAAGCAGAGGCGTTTCATTTGTCTGCGTGCAGGAGTAGATGCGGATTTCTCAAAATGATCCACAGATTTTTTTTTTCAAATCAATCAATCAAAAAAAAAAATCAATTGTTAACTCTTGTTCGAATTCTGTATCGTGATGAAAATATATCTCCAAAGTGTTATTATCGTGTCCTGAATGTCTCGGGCATGTACAATAATTGAAAGGCTGCTGCTCATTTGACTGCCTGATTCCAGATGTGGAGAGATGCAACTCGTTGCAGACGTGATGAGCATCCTGCATCTGGCCTGCTGTGGAGCACCGACAGCACCACGGACAGCTCCCTCCACAAACAGCTGCACAGAGCCAAGGCGTTCATTCCTGCTTAAAAAAAAAGCAATTGACTAATTAAACACATAATGCAGTCCGTGTGGGAGTATATGTATATTTTCTGTCTTCAAACGAAAATACATTTCAGGGAGGAGTGGAATTCCGCCCCTCCTCAGCCATAATCCTTGCGAAAAGGAAGCACCTCGTCTTTGCCTGCGTAATCTGCTGTGACATGGCTGAGCAGAACTGTCATCACATTTTTGCAGTCGGCTTGCAAAAATGTAGCCCTCTGCGGCAGGAAAAGCTGACAAATAAGGGCATTTGTCTCTCTGTGGCCTTTATATATATATATAAAAAATACAGAAAATCTGGCAAAAAGATTTTTACAGTCAAACTCTAATTTAGCTTTCGTTTGATTCTTATTAAGACTGACTCGAGAATGGAATATTTTAGACATAAGGGACAAGATTTCACGAGCAACAATGGAAGACAAAAAATAAACAACGCAGACAAGAGATCTAAATTTAGAAATCCAGCCAGAGGACAGAGAAAGTTGTGCATATTTTCATGCTTGGCTTGGGCTGCTTTGGCAGCTGCTATTTGTGTCCAGGCCGGAGCTGTTTATTAGTGAGTGTCTGTGCGTCATCTGTGTCTGAGGATATGTGCGTGTGGACGGGTGTGTAGGACGCCGAGGAACACGGAAAGGTCCTTGAGGCGTTTTTCCCTCCCCCAGCACATGCATGCTCTCCGGGCTAACGCCAGAACAGTGGAAATGTCACACGCACGCGCGCAAACAAACGCAAACAAGAAAAAATACACGGAGCCCCCTTATCAAATGTGCCATCAAAAAAGAAAAAAAAAAGAAATAGCCTAATAGAAGACACTTTTCCCAAAAAGAGCCATACATATATGAGTTAGACCAATTCTCCAAAATCATAAAACCCTGAAACGATCCAAAAAACTGAAATAGTTTTTTTTTGTAAGTAACATTAAATTCTCTAAAAAACGATCAATGCTGAAATAAATCGACTGAAAATGTCTCCCTTTTTTCTTTCCATCCACAGGACTTTAAGATTGGTTGCTGGGGCGACCAGTTTAGTTTCTGAGGCTACAAAGAGAGGGATTAAAACCGCGCGCGTGTGTGTGTGTGTGTGACAGCAAAATCGGAACACACTGGGAGTGTATGCATGCTGTATGAGCAGCCAGTTCGGTGTGTGTGCGTTTTGGGGACGTCTGTGCGTGTGTGTGTTTACGCATGAGCACGTGCTCGTGGGCGTGAGCGTGTCTGTGGTGCGATTGTGTGTAGGCCTTAAACACGGAGAAGCTTATTTCGTGTAACAGCCGTGCAGTGCTGACTGGGAGCAATAATCTCTGATAGTTGCCATGGCCACAGAAATTGGACGGGTGTGTGCACGTTGAGATTTGGGGGGAAAAGAGATTTTCCTGTGGCAGGTTATCCCATCTTTTCTTTCTTTCTTTCTTTCTTTCTTTCTTTCTTTCTTTCTTTCTCTGATACTCTGAAAAAGCCAGTTAAATGCTATTACTGTGTCAAATAAAACCATTCAGGTCACCATTGTATAAAGACACCTCCCAAATAAAAGGGAACAATATTTTTGGCTACACACTCATGGCAGTTTTCTTTATAACACATTTTTTCTGTGTGGTAACTGCTGTAGAGCATCTGACTAAAGGAATGTTATGTATAATACCACAACTCGCAATCATCATCCATGGATTTAATTATAATAATTTTATTCATAAGAATGTTAAAAACATCAAAAACCCTTTTCAAAATGCAGATATGGTCGATGGTATCTGCTACTCAACATTTCATATTTCTGTTTTAATCTTTGCGTAAAATGCCGAAATTGTTCCCTAATCTCAGTCCAAGTAAAATTACTTTTTTAACCTTTAAAATGCCATAAAAGGTTAAAAGGGTCATTTTTCTTGGATTGAGAAATAAAGTCTTTCAAGATTAAACTTCATAGACTGAGTTGTTATTTAAGGTGTGACAATTCAATATATATGATTTTCACACTAATCTTAGGTCACAATCAGACTAAAATTGATAATTTTAGCATGTAATTGTAAACTGCTGGGTGTCACCAGCATCAAATCCCAATGCCTGTGCTATACTGATAAAAAAAAATCAGTATATGTTAAACATTTCTAATATTTTTTATTGTTTCTTTTCAATTGCAGTTGGTTAACATTCTTTCATTGTACAGACAATTAGGTGTATGTATCAAACTCGTTAAAAATCTTGTTAAAACTGAACAGAGAGCGGGTGAATCAAATACCAACACTGCAGTGACATTTTGGATTTTTTTAGTAGTACCTCTGCCACACACATTGTTCTTTTCATGGCAGGAGCACCAACACATTAATCACTTTGTGGCCCAAAAAGAATGGCTGGGCCTTACAGGGCAAGACCCTGAAGAGAGCAGTACTGACAGTCGCTGTGAGTACGTGTAGAGAGTGTACATGTCTGTACGTGGGTGCTTTTGTGCGTAATGTGTAAGGGAAAAAGACAAAGAGAAGGAGATTATGGTTCATATGTCTCACAGCACTTTTGTCCGTGTGCGGGCGTGACAGGGTGCAGAGGAGAGTCACAGAGGTTGCAGGGGGTTTTGCCCACGGTGTGGCTCTCATATATCAGAAGTGCTAAGAGTCAGGGCTGTTACGTAAACTCCTTCCTCCTTCCTTGATTCCCTTGCACTCACAGAAACATGCCACCGTCTCCGCTGCTTCAGAGGGCATTACAGTCACCGACATCAGTTTCCTGGAGATTTGTCCCAGCCACAGCCACAATCACCATTGCCTAATCAGACTTGAAACCTGAACTAAATTTAAACTCATCTCCATTTTAAACCACCACTCACCATGTGACTACATGCAGAGAGAGTCTGAAACAAACACCAAATGAATGCTGAGTGTCACAGCTTGTGTTCCATTGTGGCATTTAATGGCAGAAAGGAAACATTTGCCAAAAGCCACATCTTCAACGAGTAAAGGAGGTTTCCTCCGGCATCCATACTGATGTTGCAAAAGAAAGTTCCCCGTTGTCATGACAACACAATGGACTGCAAGGATTGCATATGTGAGTCATAATCACACACATAATCGCCACTGACAGAGGTTTTTTTTTCCCCCCTCAAAGCATTGAGCAAAAAACAGCACAATGCCACAGAGAAGTCACGAGCCTTTTCGGCCCCCACAAACAACACTGGAGAGGGAAAACTCAGCATGACTTCAAACAACCTGAAACAAAGAAAAAACATAAGTAAATAATTTGAGTAATTAGAAGTAAAAAGGCTGACACTAACATATTTGCCCCTCCTGCCCCTCCCTTTCAGATGGAACTAACAGTCTGCTCATTCCTCCACAAAATGGAGGATGCCTGGCATCACATGTGGCAGTCCCACAGAGCTTGTAGCCTGTTAGTTCCCCTGTGCCTCATCACTGCTGCCTGGTTGACAAGCACAACAAGCACAGAGCTGCGAGCGTCGTGCACGGACAGCGGCAGGATGTCACGTCTTCCCTGCTGGGAGGAGTGGATGCCAGTGTGTGAGTGTGTGTGTGTGTTTTTAAAGAGTAAAGGTATGTGGAATGTGTCGATAAGTTTATGGACATCTGTGCATGTTTTGTATATGTGTGTGCGTGGGTGGGTACATATGAACAGTGTAATTTTGAGAGTGTATGTTTAACCAGTGTGTGTATAACCATGCATGTGTGTGTGTGTGTGTGTGTGTGTGTGTGTGTGTGTGTGTGTGTGCTCGAGTGGGTGAGGTGACCCAGATCTGCTTATTAGCATCAGGAGGAAGGGGACAGCAGTCACTTAGAGCTTTGTGCCTGAGCAGTGAACTGTGCTCGTGATTCAGTGACACACCATCATACTTCATACTGTAACCGCCCCCACACTGCACACACACGCATTACTTGTGATCTTCCTTTTTTATCGGCTGCGTCCAAATATCTGTACTATCCAGGAAATAAACAAAGCGATAAAAAAATTGTCTTCACTGCTGTTGGCTTGTTCCTAAAGTCAACTGAACAGCAACAACAAAAGCGATCGTAATAACAAGGAGGAAAAGAAGAAAAAGATGAGAGGAGATATACACGAATCAAATCTGAAAAAACATATAAAAGATGTTAGGATTGGGGCAACCAAAGCTCCTAACTCTAACGACCAACCCTGCTTTATATCTGTGCATGTAACCACGTTTATATATACAGTATACATATATTTATTTGGATGAATTAAGAATTATCAAGTATGTATCCAATATAATTGTTCATCATAAAAAATGTTAAGACTGTGTAGAGTTTCTATTCAGATCATGCAGCTCATGGAATCTCCCAAGAGGCATTTACACCAGCATGACAGTGCACATGCTGCTCAGGCTACCTGCACAGTAGCTCTCCTGTGCAGGTGGCTGGACAGGGGCTTTGCAAGCTGAGACACACAGGACCGCAGACAAGGGGAAATAACACATCTTGGGATCTCAGGGGATATGAGGATGTGGTGTCAGATACTGCACACTTCATCAAAACCATGAATTGACTTAAAATTGTACGTGATGAGTGGCATTTAGAAAATGGCGGTGAGGCTCTTAGATAACCGAGATAATTAAGATCAATTTACTGTGGCCCTCCCAGAATTCAAAATCAAATTCCAATGTGATTTAAGACAAACGTAAAATTTAAGGAAATTCAAGTCCTACAAGTTGGTGGCATTTTTCTACACAGATTAATGAAACTGTAGAAAATTTTAAGATCAGTAATGTCTTTTTTAATTATCTTTGAAAAATAAACTGATATAATAATAATAATTTATTGTAATCCCAAAAGAAAAAAAGAGATTTTCCAATTAGTGTAGTATGACCTCTGGTGGTAAAAGTTAGGCATACATTTTTTCTCCGAAAACAAGGATTTATATCAGGTATAATTAATAAATATGACCTAAATATTTTTGTCTGTGGGACATATGTAAAAGTCAATAGAATGTAACAAAAAATAAAGTCATGCTCCTATCCTGCACTGTTACACCCAAAGAAGACTTGGAAGGGACGATATAGGAAATGTTGTATAAAGGTAAATTTGAGGCCGTGGCTTCCCAATACCAAGAATATCTAAAGGACAATTTTATTACATTATTCTAGGATACTGGTACCATGATTAACACCAACAACATATTTTCAAATCCAGTTTTTTAACATATGTTGAACAAACAGAAAAACACACCACAAGAACTAAATAGAAATTGAAAACAAATTCTAAAATTTAAAGACCATTTGAACCAATTCAGAAACAAATTAACAAAATCTACATACCAAATAAAGTGTTACTCATTTTCCCTGCGTTTTTTCTTTTTCTTTTGTAGTTCAAGGTCAATTGTGGTTACAGGAATCAGAAAACACAAAGCTGATCATGTGAAAAATACCCAGAAAACTCCTTTACATAGGAAAATATCAGCAATGTAGTTTTTTGGTATGGACAATGTTATACTGCTATATGATAGAACTGATATAACATTTTATTTCCCTGCACATAGAGATTTCCTTTATTTCAGTTTTCACTAACTGCCCGGAATGGTTATTGTGACGGACCAAGTTTCCACCCGGCCTTATTTTGCAGTCGTAGCCTTTCAAAATGGCTTCCACGGAAGGTCCGGTTTGTCAAATATTCTCCTTTCAGGATTGTAAAGCGACCCCAGACCCAGTGTTTGAGCTCCCTCCTCAGTGTCTGAGCCAAACACCGGTCCCGATAGTAATAGATAATGGCTCCTTCCAGACTCGTGCTGGTTGGGCGGTTGAGTCTGATTCCCCGCGTCTGCTCTTCAGGTCGGTGGCTGCGCGCAGCAGAGGAGCTGCCCGCAGCGAGACCCAGATCGGCAACGATATCCCGAACCTGGAGCCACTGCGATGGCTCCTAAAGAGCCAGTTCGACCGAAACGTTGTAGTTAACTTCGAAATCCAGGAGCTTATCTTTGACCATGTGTTTACACACCTGGGCATCACTTCGGAGGTTAGTAGAGACAGTAGCCATCTTGTGATCCAACAGGGGCATTTTAAGATATTAAATCAAACCTGCATTTTCAAACTTTCCACATATTTCAGTGAACATGTTGTTAAAATGATTTTCAAGAAGGTAACTGATTTGTATTGTAAGAAAACATTTTAGTAGGTAAAAAGTGTAGTTTCTCATGGACTGGTTTAATTGTCATTTCTCATGGTGAGGACTTTGGTAATATGTTCTTTTTTTTTTATTGTACTCTCTGTGTAGGGCAGTGTTGACCATCCCATTGTGCTGACAGAGGCGCCCTGCAACCCACTTCACTGCCGGCAGATGATGTCGGAGTTGCTGTTTGAGTGCTACCACGTCCCATACGTTTCCTACGGCGTGGATGGCTTGTACAGTTTCTGCCACAATTACTCTCAAAGGAATCTGCAGCCCCCTCACACCGGCATTGTTCTGTCCTCTGGATACCACTGCTCCCACATACTGCCAGTGATCAACGGCAGGTGAGCCGACGCGCACGGCTGCCTCTGCCCTCGCAGAACTCACGACGTGGCACTCATTATAGGCTTCTTTTTGCAGGCTAGACGCGGTGAACTCTAAGCGTGTGAACGTGGCGGGCAGCCAGGCGGCGTCCTACCTGCAGCGCCTTTTGCAGCTGAAATACCCGGGTCACCTCGCTGCCGTCACGCTGAGCCGCATGGAGGAGCTGCTGCACGAGCACAGCTACACGGCCGTGGACTATCACGAAGGCACTGCGCTCGAATATTTCCTGCTCGTCGGAGTTTTCTAGTCTTACTTGACTGTAGTTTTTCTAACATTTGCTCTGCGTTTCCTCCTTATTTTTGTGTTCCCACAGAGCTAGAAAAGTGGCGCAGCCCGGAGTTTTATGAGCGGGAAGTTCACCGAATGCAGCTGCCCTATTCAGGGAAGGTGCCCGGTGGCTGCGTGAGCGTGGAGGAGCGGCAGGAACGGCGAGCTCAGCAGCTTCGACGACTTCAGGAGATCAATGCTCGCCGACGAGAGGAGAAGCTTCAGCAGGACCAAGAGAGGCTGGACAGACTTTTGGCTGTGCAGGTAAGCTTTGAATGCTTTTTTGAGTTTCTTATATTACCATCATGTGTTGCAAAAAAACAAAGGAGACATGCCTCCGCTGTATTTTGGTTTAATTTTCCCATTTTCACTCTGCTGTGTGTGTGCAGGAGCTGTTGGAGGACGGTCTGTTGGATCAGTTTCACAAGAGTCTGGTGGTTCTGAACATGGACTCAGCTGAGGAGCTTCAGTCATACATAAACAAGCTGCAGCTCGCTGTTGACCAGGGCAGACAGAAGCTGCTGCACAGCGAGGGATCAGAGGGAAAGATTGAGGTTTGTGGTGTCTCGTTGATCATAAATCACAGAGCTGGAGTCACCAAAGGAAATGGTTGTAATGTTTTTTTAATGCAACCAAAAAAACCTTTCAAAGGCCTTCGGTTAATTGTATTTGGTTGGATGGAACTAGAGATGCATATTTCATTTTTTTAGATTTGCACAAAGAAAATGTGATTTCATTGGTCCAAATTTAAAACTGAACTCTTAAAACATGAAGAAATAATTTTAAAAGATACAGTTTTGATTAACCAAGATGTGTTTTATGGCTAAATCGAGGGTTAGTAGGACATGAAAAAGAAAAAAAGATCCCCCAGATCCCCTTTCTGCCATGATAATGCTTCCCCAGCAGCTTAGAGAAGCTTCTGTAGACATTAGCAGGCGTCTATGTGGTGCAGCTGACACGGAGCCTTAGGCCGTTGTGTCGCTCTCTGCCAGGTGTCGGAGTTGGATCAGCCCATGGATGAAGGAGATGGGGTGGCACTGATGGATTCAGACTTCTCTGAGGACACGCTGCCGGAAAAATCTGCAAACATGGTTCAGGTTGTGAAAGTATTAGCCTCATTAATACTGGGCGGGGAGCCGAGAGGGAAAAGTCGGCCCAAGAAACATTTGATAGATGGTGCCTCAATACTAAAAGCATACGTCTGATGTTTTGTCCAGCCTGCATTCAACATGGCAGAGTATCACCAACTGTTTGTGGGGACAGAGCGTCTTCGTTGTCCAGAGATTCTGTTTCAGCCCTCTCTGACTGGAGAGGATCAGATGGGACTGATGGAGACGCTGCACTATGTCCTGGCTAGGTAAAGATACAACATGAAGTCCCCATTAATAAGCCACTATGCCGCAGGGCCATTAACGTGGTTATCATTTTACTCCCTGTGTAAAACATACAGGTACTCCCCAGCGCAGCAGGAGGCCCTGGTGAGCAGTGTGTTTCTGACCGGAGGAAACATGCAGTATCCCGGGATGAAGGAGCGGATAGAGAGGGAGCTGCTGGCCATGAGGCCCTTTCAGTCGCACTTCAAGGTACAACCAGCATCCTTTTAAGATGCTAGTGATAATATGAATATTTTCATGTCATAATAATGCAGGTTCGTAATAAAATGGAAATAGATTAGCTCAACCATTTAATTTCTTTATCTTAAGTTCAGAATATGAACTGTTTCCAGACGTTTGTCTAAACTCAGTACAGAGGTGTATGTATCAGAATACTGGTTAGATAAGGACTATATTAGAAATGCTAAATAATTAAAATATTTTTTAGGAAAAACAGATACACTGCCTAAACCACTCAAGGAGGCAGCCTTATGCGGTTACGCTTTAACTGACTACTGTGCAGGTCACGTTGGCATCCCGGCCGGCCCTGGACGCCTGGTATGGAGCACGAGACTGGGCGCTGGAACACCAACCGGGAGCAGAAGCAGAGGGATGGATCAGCAGGCAGGACTACGAGGAGAAAGGAGGCGAGTATCTGAAGGAGCACTGCGCCTCGAACCCTTTTGTTCCCATGAAGATTGCCAAGCCAGTTCCCGCCCGCCCCGCGGAGACGCCTGTCACTACGCAGACGTCCACAGGAGTCTCTGCCGCCATCACCGCGGTAACATCTGCACCCGCTCCCTCCTCCTCTGCCGGCGATGTCACCATGGTTACCTCTTGAAATGAGGTCTCAAAGACTAAAGAGATAAAAAAAATTATGCTCCTTTTCATTTATTTGAACTCGCCTCATGCTTTTCAGCAACCTACAGGAAGCAGGTGTCAGCCTCATGCACTCAGTCAAATTTGGACTTTACTGAACACATTGCCATTTGATTCACAGGGGCTAAATGTGACAGATTTTTAGCGGTTTGATTTCACATTGCTGGAAAACGGCCTCAATAAAACATAAATAGTTAATGCAGGGAAGTTAGATTCATATTTGTAGTGTTTTTCTTTTTTTTTGGATTTGACATTTATTCATACTGTCTGAGTTTGGATTTTGAGTAAAAAAAAGCCTTTGTTTATACACCATACTGGGAAAAGCTGTTCATATTGAATAGTCACAAACTATCAAAAGTCTTTATCCACATGTTGTGTATTTTTGTATAAATAAAAATGCTGAATGTTTTTTTAAAGAATGCATTTGCGCTGATTAGAACATTCTTCCTTACGCTGACTTAATAGGTTCCGTCCTCTTCCACAAGACTGAACATATTCCTTTGAGTTGCTTTTATTTTCCCTGTCTGTTTTTTTTATTAGCATCTTTCCTACACACCCTTTAGTACTATTACTTTTCAAGTTAGTGTAATTATTTGTTTAAGAAGCTTATGCATTTATCCACAGTTTCCTGCATATGAGCAGCCCCTTTGAACTTATGATTGGATGCTGTAATATACTGTTGCACCATTAGGTGGCACACAGCCACACTAAATGGAGTCCTTCAGTTGTCATTTATGCAAATTATTACACAATACTGACCTTTATGTTCACTATTTCCAGTAGATTGAGTCCTAAGGGACCACCAGAGCCTCTGTTCTTGCTGTTCTTTTTTTATTATGTCTGGTTGTAGACTTAATTGTCTAGTTTACAGCCACATGATTTAAACAAATATATACTTTATTGTCCTGTTGGTTTTTAAACCTCCAGTTTATTTTGCTTGGTATTCAGGGGGTCACAGGACAGCAGGTGAATCCTCAGATATGATACAGTCTGGCCTCTACAAACATATTTGTAAAGTTCACATGGCCTAAAGTTCAAACTGACATCCAGCTTGTTCTGCTATGCTTCAAATTGCTGTATGCACACACACAAACCCAGAAAAAAAACTGTTTTCAAAGCAAGGCATTGAATGAGTCGGATCAGAGCCACCAATGGCCCGTAACTCAAAGGTGAATGGCCTGAATTCAGCAAATGGATTAGAAAATAAAAACAAAGACGTCTTTTATGTGTAAATGCAAATACGCGGAATTTATTGCCATGGCTACGCTGCATTTTTCAAAATCTTTCCTATTATTTAAGAGAAGAAAGCAAATATGGAAATGAACTTTTCTACCTAATTCTCTCCCCCACTGGAAAGCAATTTGTGGTTTAATAACTTAAACAAGCAGGCCAATTATGTCTGAGTAATAATAATGAAAACAACACATCTTAGGACGTTTTGTCTAAGCTGATCCATGTTGATCCCCCATTGCATGATAAGTTGCACATAATGTGAATGGTTGTCATGGCTACCACTTGCCAAAATGTGCTTACCCACTGTATTCACTTCATTTTGTGCAGTCACCTCTCTGCCACATGTCAGCTATACAAATTCATAATCGGTGGCTTGTCGATAAGATACTTATTAAACATCTCGATGAATATTGTACAATGCCGGTCTTTCACGTTATCAAAGAAGCCTGAGCTGCGCTGGACCCAGGTTGTGCCATGCGATCGGCTAATGTCCAATTAGGAGGATTTATTTGTGAGCTGCAGTGTTGTAGGTCAGCAGGAGCACCAGACAGGGCTGAGCTCACATCACTCAGACATGTGGTCATGGATCTGAGAAATAATGACCCACATTGGAGATGAGACAAAAATTCAATGGGTGGACAGTCTAATGTTACTGTTGTACATTTTCAAAAAAAATTTCAAAAAATGCAAAGATGACCCTCTGCTTTGTTAGCACAGAGATGTTTATATGTGTAAAATTTCCTTCTTGGCAGGTTGCTTTCCTGTATGGGTACAGAAGGTGGAGGCCACAGTAGAAGAGTCTGACACTTCAGTCTGGAACAAAATGTTAGAACAGCACATCAACAGCAACATCAAACTGAAATTCGGTGTTAAATCACTCCGAAATATTTTGGTGAATTTATCATGTAATGAGTTAATCCGTCCATCCATCGTCTATATAACTTGTTCTGGAGGTGGAACCCATCCTGGTTGGCATTGGACGAGAGGCAGAAAAAGACAAAAAAAAGGACATCACCAAAAGATAATGACAATTTAAAAAAATACGGTAACTGAAACTGCTCTCCAAATATTCATGACGAGACTGTGTTATTTTGACATGTTTTCGCTAAATGTTATGAAGAACATTTTAATTCCACTGAAGGACAAATGCGAAACTTTATAAAAATAAACAGAAAAGCTATATTTATGAGAATACTGTCAGGTTTTTTTTTTCCAAACTGGGTTTTAATGAGCTATCAAACATGTTGTCTTCTGCAGAAGGATTGGCTGCAATCCAGTCGAAGGAACTTTCTGTTCTTTCCAGCAACAGACTCATAGATGAACAGGATATCTACATTAAGCGTTGAGTGACCCTGACAGAGCTGATATTTCCTGTTTGGATGGACAGTGTGGACAGTTTATGATGAACTTCTCTCCAGCTGTCAGTTAATACTTCCTTTGCTATTCCGGTGCATTTGAGCTCATGCTTGCGTTTTATTTCTTGGTTACAATGTTTCCGTAACAGAGTACATAAAGGGTGTTCATAATGAGAAAAAAACATACTTCAGGAGTAAAAGTCTTTGCAGAAGAAAAAACGTTTCCAAGCAGCCTATAGTATTTGGTATAGTGAAAGAATAACAGCTTTCCTTTTAAATCTTTCACCATTATATGATTCAATAGCTCAGAGTTGACTGTACTGCAGCAGCATATTTGGAGGTTTGACGATGTTTTGATATTATCTCACCTCAGTGAAAACCTGTCACTGAACGCAGACACAAACCCACAGTCACTTTTCACAGAGCAAGATTCACTCTGGAAAGGTAGAACCACTTGCCTCAAGACAGCTGTGAAGCGCCGATTGAATATACTCAGACTATTATTATATTATATTATCTTGGTCCAAATCCATTTAGTCATGCACAGCCCTGTCATTGTCCCTCCAAAGTATTTTAGGCAGCTTGAGGTCTGGATCGTTTATTCAAGTTTGTCACTTGAATAAACGCCAGTTTTCTGGAAAATCTTCACGTGACCAACAGTACTGCTTTATTGTTAACAACAGACATCTGTCATGGCAGACATATAATGGGCTGGGATGATTTTCATCCCTGAAGTTGAAAGAGAAGCCCATGTGTGCCAAATTGGATTTCCCCCCCTTTACATGGACAATTATACTTGTTTGCTATAAATCAGGGACACTGGTCCATTAAAGATAAAGGAAGGTTATCTTTTTGATGAAAACCATCAGCTGACCTCTGCTAGTTGAACGTTATTATTTTCACTTTAATTTATTTTTTGCATTTTATGACATAGAACAGAAACTGATTGAAAACAATTTGATTAACGTGAATGAGGGAAAGGTTTGCAGCATAAAGACTCAGTCATTACTCTACAACAACTCTCTAAAACAATCTAATTACATAAAATTGCGGTGACTTCCGTGGGGAGAACACACCTCAACAAGTAATATTAGTTTATTGAATATGCTCACAGAAAAAAATGAAATTGGAAGCCTCATTTTGATGTTGGTCATTATTTTGTGCTGCTGATCAGGTTCCATATGGCAACATACTGTATTCCCCAGATACTTTCGAAAGGACACTGAGTTTGTGTGCTTTTCCATTTCCTCCCTTCAGCTCCCAAAAGCTCACAAACAAAGTAGAAGAAATACTTGATCAAATTACATCTCAGCTCAACCTCTAACCACTCACGCTGATGTGAGCATTAGCTGTTTCAGCATAGGAAAGAGCATTCATATGATGAAACCTTCAAATGTAAAAGTTACACTGTGTCTAGCACAATGTAATCACCCAGGAAGTGAGCAACAGGATCTGTAATTAGATGTAAACGGCCTCTTTCTCCTCCTCCTTCTCCTCCCCCCTTTCCTTGCTCCACTTGCGAAGAGCAACAGGTCCAAATCCTGTAAGTCCACGGCAGTTAGAAGCCTGTGGTGGTTGTGAGGAAGGCCCGAAAAAAAGACCTATTGATCGATTGAGCCTATTTCTGCACAAAGTGGAGGACGATGTTTCGGACAGCTGTGGAGCATGCCAAAAGGCATCCTGGTGTGAGTATACCTCCCTGTTTTTTGTGTTGTTGTTGTTGCTTGTTGTTGGTTGTTTTGATATTTTACGAGCTCACGTGATGTCATTTCAAAAATGTATTTCATGGTGTTAGAACCTTCTATCAGCATGTCAGCTCAAAATTTCCTTTAATATTTATATTTCAAAATGGTTTAAAAGAAATGTTTTGATAAAAAAATGGAATAAAAACATGTTTCACTAAAAATAATTAGTTTCTGGATACTCGATGTATTGAACTGCATTTACCTATTATATGCATTTAACTCTAAGATGATTTTAAAAACAAATGATTGAAAGCTTATTTTCTCTCCTTTTTTTGTTTGACACTTTTCTTATGAGTTGGACAGCTTTTACACCTCAGACTTTTAAGATCCTGATAGATTTTTGGCTTTTATTGTGTTTTACTGTTGCATTGTTGTCTCTTTTGGGTTTTTACTGTTGAATCAACAGAAAGTGTAATGTGTCACATAGAGATTGACTTGATGATTGATTTGATGATTTGCTATCAAAGTCAATACAAGTTAAACACTTTTTGATTGATGGGTCAGAACAGAAGACATGATCAGAAGTCTAATTTGGTCTCATCTAATCTTATCTCAGCTCTACTTCAGTCAGTTAAGATGCTCCAGTTGCTCGTGTTGAAATCGAGCCAAACCGAGAGCAGCTTAAGACTTTCGTAACACTTCAGGGCCTCCTAACAACTCCCAAACTCTATACTGTCAGAATCTAATCAGTCAGGAAATTAGGTGTTGGAATATAATACATTGAGCGATATGAGATTTCCCCACAGGGGAGGGGATTATTTCAGCGATTTTAACCAGCCCTGCTGCTTTAAAGAGGAGTGATGGGGTTTTAACTCCTTGTCACTGGACTCCCCCGAGTGAGAGGGAGAAGCCGCACAGAGGAAAACCCAACCAGACTCTACCAGAGCTCTTCAGCACTGTCTCTCATTCTGATGGACAGACAGTAATAAAGAGGAAGAGAGGCTTCATTCTCTATACTCATCCATCCATTTTCAGTACCTGCTCAAACCGATGCAGGGTGGCAGACCGACTGGAGCTCATTTATGCTGTCAAAGGATGAGGGACTCTGAACACTCTGGGCAGGTTGGCGGAAAAACAGCCATGAGCAGTCATACCTATGGATTGCTTTGGACCTCCAATAAAACTAACATGCATGTTTTTGGACAATGTTAGAGTGATCGTGCAAACCAGGCCTCCACGTGCTGTGAGATGAGATGATGGTGCAAACAGCAACACCGCCATGCAGGGCTAATCAGTTACACAGCTAAGTGTTGGAATAGAATACGTTTCACAATATGAATTTTCCCCACGGGGAGGAGATTATTTCTACATTTCTAATCAGCTCTGCTGTCACAAACTCGAGTGATGGGGTTTAAACTTAATGCCAGTGGCCTCCCCAGAGTGAGGCTCTACCAGAGCTCCTTAGTGAGGACTATCATTCTGACATACAGACAAGCTGTAACAGTGAGACAGAGCACCAGAAGCTGCATGGAAAAAAATCCCTCTGAGACTTGTCAAAGTTCCTTCGTCAAGTTTCATCTGACAGACAGAGATGGGTGGTAAGAGTCCCAAAGTTTTAGTAAAGATAGAAATTCTGACAGATGAACAGGTGATTGGCCAGAGGGCCAGAGGGATGACGGTGGTTGGACTGATTCTTCCGAGGCAAATTCACACACGCTGAAAGTCTGCCCAAAATCATTCTATAAGCTTCTAATTTATGTTACTTTACGTACGTACTCCTTACTCATCCCAAGAATTAGATGGAATAACAGGTGCGCCATCATCGGGAAACATGACGGGTGTGTGGAGGATATTTTGTGCTTTGTTCATTGTCCAGCATGTGTGAATTCTTTAAAATAAGAACATAACTAGAGGCCTTTAGAGAGAGGACTCCAGAGTCTTTCCATTTCTTTCACTCCTACCTTGTACAGCCAGTTTACATATTGGACATTGATTATATTTGGGGAAGAATGATGGAAATCTCCTATCTGATCTTAAAGAACTAACACTAAACAAGGACAGCGGCCCACAGCAGCTATCAGCAGCACACAGTGAAGTCCTCCCAGCCCTGCCCAGTAAGCTTTATCATTTTCACTTTGACTCTACAACTCTCAAGATAGATGTGTGGGTCCACCACAAAATTACCTATCGTACAACATACTCACAAATACAGAAACAGAGTCTCATGTATGAAGCCTGACATTTATTAGAGTTATTTCCTGCAAGATGTTCAATGAGACGACAAAAGGTAATTGAGCTGTCCAGCTGCCCTGATCACATCTGTCAACTGTACTCACAAAACGATAAAGCAAAGAGTTTCTGGTAGAATACTCAAAACGAAACAGAAGTTTTTTCATGGGAAATGTCTGGTTCAGGTTGAAGGACAATCCACGTGAGCTGACAAACAAACATTTGGCTTTTGGGTCTTTATCTAACACTGTCCTATGAATCACACACAAGCATAAAAAACACCAAACTCAAGGATGGTGCCAGTATGGTTTCTGTGATTAAGCATCAAGTCCATATGCAAAATAATTCACACTCTTTGTAATGAGAGAAAAAAAGAAGAGGGATATGATCTTAATCTTCTTTTGATATCTTTTTCTCCTCAGCTAATACCCCAGTTTTTCTTTATCTGTCTGGGAATGGGTGGAGCATCTCTATATCTTATCCGGCTGGCCAGAGGACCCCATGTGACGTAAGAACCTTAAACACTCGCTGTTGTTTTGAATAACAAGTAGTAAACAACACTATGCAATTATCCATAAAACGTGCTTTTGGTCACCATCTGAGCTGCCTCACGTGATTTGACAAAAAACACATGTTGTTCCATTAGTCTTTCATTAAATGTGCCAATATATGCATATAAAGGTGTATTCTCAGTCACACTGCAGGATGATTCATTTAACTGAGACATCTCTTTACTATGGATCATAATTTAATCTTGAAATGCATAATTGTTTAGTTTACTGAATATTTAGTAAGTTCACAATCAGACACAGCTAAATGTATTTAACAACCACCGTATGGTGGAATAACTCCAATGTCTTTTATCCGTTATTTGAAACAATTAAAGGTGACAAGCTTAAAAGCATACCAGGTTTACAGTGCAGCTATGTGCTGAATTTGACCCTTAACTTGCTTTGATTTAACATGTCTAATTTAAAAAGGGAAAAATAGAGCTCTTGCTGGAAGCTTGATTCAATAATATAAGATCAAACAGAGGCTAACAAGTCACTCTGTGTATTGTTTTGTCTGTTTAGCTGGAACAAGACTGAGAATCCTGAACCATGGAACAAACTGGACCCCACATACCAGTACAAGGTAGCTGAGAACGTTTAATCTGTGTACACAAACTACAGTTTGATTAATGTCTTTGCAGCATCAAGCCTCTATGACATTTAAACTTTATTTTTTTAACTTCTTAAACAGTTCGTGGCCATTACCACAGACTATAAAAACCTGAAGAAGGAGGGACCTGACTTCTGAATCCCACAAAATCAAAGAAGATCCTGATCTGGGTTGAGATTCACTCTGTTTTTCCCCTTTGACCTGAACAATGCAGGTGGAAGGTGAAAGAGATCCTAGATCAGAATGAGTACAAGACCTTTTAGTGTCTATGAGCCTGTATGATTTTGCCAAGATGCTACTGACCCGATTAATATGATTAATGTTACTTATGCATATATATATATTTAGCATTTGTACACACTAACACGCTGACTCAGGAAGAGGCATCAGAGCATCAGATAAAAGGTTTTGCATGTTTTAGAAAATTCCGCATGGACATAAAATATCACATTAAAAAATATGATATTAACCATTTTCTTCTGTTCAATGCAGCAATTCTAATGCTTCCTGGCTATTTGTAATACTGCACGAATATTGTTGGGAAAAACAAAAGTAAAAACACACATGCAAGTTTAGCTGTCACTAACTTCAACAGTTACTGTGTCAGAGGAGGAAAACTGCAGACGTGCATTAACAAGCCTGGGATCTCTCAATAAACAAAATGCCTGATTAACCTTTAGAGATGTGTTTGGTTTGTTTTTTTATGTTTGTTTTTTTTGGTACATGTGCACATTTTCCACAAACACCCGCATAGAACTCAGATCTTTTTTCCGCACACTCAGTAACTGATGAAGCAGATCAGCGTTTGCAGTGCAGCTGCCACATTGTTGCCTCGCTGGCAGCTGCTCACTGAGGACACGTTTGCCATCTTTGTGCCTCACGTGCCATGTGACAGCCGCCCAGTTTCTTTGATCAGTTGCTGATGCTGAACCGTCCACCCCAGAATGGTTGATGGTACACACCTCACAAAAAATAATCCATCCTACCTTTTACAGGACATTACATGATCTTAGAGTGTTTCTTTTCAACACTATTCAATGAGTGATCTTTTTCACAAAGGGTTTGAGGAAAACCCTCTCTACCCATCAGTATTCATGCTTCAAATAACACAAAAACACAACTCCCCATGTCATTCTACAATCCTTTTTTCTTTTTAATCATAGGGACACTAAGGTCCAGCAACATGTCTCCTAAATCTACGGAGCCTTATAAGTGTTGTTTAAAGAGATAGGATGACTTACTGCTGTAAACATGGGAAATTATGAAATGGGTTTCTACCATAAAACTAAAAATCAGCGAATATATATGAATGTTTTATAGTTCTTAGTTTCTTTAGTTTTTTATGTTTTATGTTTATTTCAAATTTTATTTTCCACATATTAAAGTTTGGGCTGCGAGAAAAATCATTCCATAGAACACCATAAGGGTTATTGTAGGAGTGAGAGATCTTATGACCAAACATGATTTGGTCAAATTAATTCCCTGAAGGAGTTTAATAAGCCTTAAATATCACACAAAGTGCAGTTGTAAGGTCATGAGAAAGTGACACAGAGATGAAGAGGATCACTCAGTATTTATGTTGGGATGCTGCTTGTGTCTCTGTTTGTGTGTTTTCTGACAACAGATCTGACCCTTTTTATCAGCTGGTTGGCCTCTAAAGAGAAGACACATTCCTCAGGAGAAGAAGCAGTAACTATCAGCTGAAAAACAGACTTGAGAACAAAGTGAATAGCAGTAAACAGAACAGAGTTTTTGAGCATAATTAATATTCAGTTGTTCAATGTGCAGCATCAGTGGTTCACACATTGCTACTTTGTAAAACCTCCATCCATCCATTGTCGTAACTGCTTATTCCCTTATGGGGTCGCAGGGGTGGGGGGCGGCTGGAGCCTAACCCAGTAGTCCTTTGTTAAACAAATTGTGTTTTAATGGAAACATTTCTCTGAATCATACATTTCAAAATGGAAATGAACAATTGCTTGGTTTATCGTTTCAAACCAAAATTATTGAAAGAGGAGATCAGAATGTTTGTTATTTTTGAGGGTTTAAAGATCGGGCTGGATCAGTCTGAGAACCAATGGTAAAGGAAATGTGTACATAAACAGAAATCCATTTTCTGAACTTCATTGAAAACACTGATGGATTTTAATGTGCACTGTTTTTAAGTATCTCACAGTTTACAGTAGATTCGCATGATTTGGACCCACATAAAGAGACTGTGTCACTAAAATATCAACCCTATTGATGATATGTTATTGTTTGCCTTGTCTTGTTTAGCCCCTTCCCCATAGAAATTAAGCCCCACTAACATGGCCAGATATGTTTTTATGTGTCCACATCGTTAACTAAATCAGCCATCAATTCCATAACTGAAGACAAATAGTGCTTATAATTGACTGTTTTCAGGACTCCCATAGACTTAAAAGGTTAATACAAAGTCTTATTAAACAAATTAAGGCGTGCAGTGAAACTGTGATAAACATGTGTGTTTGAACTTTTTAGTAAAAATCTCTTGGTTTATCTGTTCCCCGTCAAACATCTTGTCACTGTCGAGGGATCAGATTTTAATTTATTTTTCAAGACCATTCCCTGAAGTTGATACGAAGAGGAAATGGCTGGAGGAAATTCCAGCAGCTTCAAACAGCTCAGTGTTTATAGAATCTGCAGGGGTTCCTCCCACATCCAGTTGCAAACATAAATCATCTGCCTTATGCCACCAATGCGACGGCAAGAAGCGCATCCAAACATTCAAAATCACGGCCTACATTTTCACGTGACACATACGAGATAATTCCCAAACACGCTGTTTGAAAATGTGCATGCAATTTTACCATTTACCACAATTCTTATCTTTCTTGTGATCAATAAACCTGGAATTTGTATTGACTGAGTTTTGTAGTTTTTATTGATCTGGTTCTGGTACATTGGTGTCCATTAACATTGTTTATATGGTAGATCATCAGTTATCAAATCATAGTGTAAATGTAAATGTTACAGTGATTAATGGAAACATTATGAAAAGAATCTGAATTATTTACAATATAGTTCTACTGGATATTGCAGTGATTGATAAAAAAGTCTCCTTTTCATTTGGGTTTAGTGGTCAGTAAAGCCTGGCATGGGGAAGGGCCGTGCAAAGAGCTCCACTTGGTGCCTGAGCTCTGCAATGCGGGACACTGTGTCTGGGTCTTTCAGCAAGAAGGACTTGAAGTTTGCCAGATTTCCTGTTAGGGGCAAAATGAAAACAGTTCTTAGTAAGGCTCCCATATGTGAAATATAAATTATTAACATCATACTGTCTTTTTTCAACGCACTGCATTACGTTGTGAAGCAGCAGAATGGCTTGACCTCAATTAAGGTTTCATTAATATATAAAAATGCCAAACGCCACCAGTGGGATCCTATTGATTCTCGCATTATTGAGCCAGCTGAATCGGTAATAGGTTTATACAAGAATGAAAAGTTATCTCACCAGTATTCTTCTTCACATCTAGAGCAATGTGAATTCCTTCATCAATGAAGTCCACAACCTTTTCAAAATCTGGCTCCTTAAGCTGTCGAGAGGTCAGAGCTGGAGCTCCTGTAAGAAAGTGATGTGGGCTGAATGTTGATAAAGCTGATAAAGTTACAGCTGGTGCCTTTGTGAAGGCTGAGAGGATACTGACATACAGACAAATACAACAACCGACTAACAGCAGAACATCAACGCCAAAGTGAGAAAAAGGGTGTGTGTTATCACAGAGTCATTAACAATGTTTTCTCTGTACCCGTTCCAACAATACTTCATTTCACAACTCTCTATTTCAAAATGCCTTTATGATCCTGCATACCAAGCCTGAGTCCTCCTGGGGTGAGGGCACTCTTGTCTCCAGGACACGTGTTCTTGTTTGCAGTGATGGACACCAGCTCCAACACCCTCTCGGCCCGAGCACCATCTATCCCATGTGGTCGGAGGTCGACTAAGACTAAGTGGTTGTCTGTTCCACCTGATGGGAGGAGGAATGTCTTTGATTAATAATAATCTTGAATTTTCATTCATTTTAAAGACCTAACTGTTGAATGAGGCGAATAACTTTTCGAGTACCTCCGCCCAAAACTTCCTGCTGACACTGAAGAAAATTATCATGGCTTCTTTAAAATTCCACTGATATTGTCTTTTCCATTCAACTGTCAAGTGAGGGTTAAGAGTACTTCTCCAAAGTCATAAAAACAGAATGCAAATTAGGTGACAGTGAAAAAAAAAAGCAATTGCATCAGGTACCTGAGAGGAGAAATGCAATAACAGTAGAAAGCCTAATCTAATTTCTCAGCTGGAAAAGAATACAGATACTCTTTTATGTATAATGTAATTAATATGAAATGTGTACCTGACACCAGGGTGTAGCCTTTCTTCAGCAGAGCTTTAGCCATGGCCTTTGCGTTCAGAAGCACTTGAGCAATGTACTGTTTGAACATGGGAGTTGAAGCCTGCACAGAAACATTAAGAGAAAAACCATGAGAGCATATTCACATGAAAACCACTGTAGGATGTACATGATTTATACATGAGCTATTGCAATTAAGATGGTTTTCAGTCTTTTTTTTCTCCTGAGGATTTCTGTCTTATTAGATTTTGGAAGGCTATGTTGAATAACGGGGAGTAAAATGCACAGCTGGACCTGTTTCAGGGCGACAGCCACCCCAGCAATGGCGTGATTGTGTGGTCCTCCCTGAAGTGACGGAAACACAGCAAAGTTCACTCTGTCCTGGAGGTCATAGAGCACCTCCCGACCTTTTGCATCCACAGACCGTACGCCTTTCCGGTAGAAGATCAAACCAGCCCTACAGATTGAAAACAAAAATATGTAGGGCAGTACTGCACAGCGTGCTGACATCATGGTTTTGTAAAACGTGTAAAATGGTTTGTGAAACGTAAATCATGTCCATATCAGCTTCTGTGTCCGCACCTTGCTCCACGCAGGGACTTATGGGTGGTGGAGGTGACCAGGTCAGCATGTTGAAACGGAGAGGGAACAGCTCCAGCTGCCACCAGGCCGCTGATATGAGCCATGTCTGCCAGCAGATAGGCATTCAGCTCCTCACAAAGCTGGAAAAACACACCATCATTCAACATGTTTTCAACCCAGTCTCGTGGCGAAAGGGGTGACAGCTTTGTCCACAAAACAAAACAATACAGTTTCATGGTAAATGTGCAGATTATCACACTATCAGATCATCAGGTCTGATTGTTTTTAAAGAAATTTTAATTCATTGTAAGGGCAGGGAGATAAAAGTGGGTGGTAAGGTGTGGAAAACATGCTTCAGATTTCAATTCATTGCTTACAGCTTCTCTATCGTGTCAAAAACAAACAACTTTTTACATAGTAAGTTTTAGATAACTGGGCAATTTTAGCTACAATTCGTTTTCTGGAGTATGGTCAGTTTAGCTTTTTTATGTCCTGTATTTATGTTATTTATGTTGTTGAATTTTCTAATCAATCATCAAAAAGTATTTGGTTATTACAAACTGCTACAGTGATTTTAGAACAACATAGACATTAGAATATAACCTTCTTGATGCGAGCGTAGTCGATCAGACGAGCATAGGCACTGGTTCCTGCAATGATGAGTCTGGGTCTGAAAAGACGGGCTGTCTTTTCCAACTGGTCATAGTTGATCAGGCCTGTTTGAGGCTGAGAAAACAAATGTCACCCATCAAACAACAAAAGCAATGGAATTCCAAAGTTTGGAGTGAAAACATTACTTCCAGGCGAAGGCTACTCACATCCAGTTTGTAGGGCATGGATTCAAAGTAAATGGATGTGGCTGAGATTCTCTTGTTGTCTGTCATGTAGCCGTGGGTAAGGCTGAAAAATAACAGAAAAAGAACTCAGCCTCCCCAGTTTGAGACCTTAAATATCACCTACATAAATACACAACTCTCCTTCTCACAATGGAAAAATCTAAGTATTTCCTTACAAATATAACTAAGATGTAGTAAGTAATAATGTTACAAATGGCATTAGAGTATTTACCACCTAAAAGTCTTTTAAATATTTATTAAATATTTTAAAGTTTGTGGAAATGTTTGTATTGCCAAAATTAGATAAGTGGTCCACTCACTGTCCACCATCAGGCAGATCCAGACCCATGATACGGTCATGAGGCTGCAGCACTGACGTGTAGGCTGCAAAGTTGGCGGGAGAGCCGGAGTATGGCTGGACGTTAACGCCCCACAGATTTGGGTCCAGACCGAAGACAGCAAGCGCTCGCCTCTGACATAACAGCTCAATCTGGTCGACAACCTCAGCACCTCCATAGTACCTGAGAGAGACAGAAAAAACAAACAAAAAGAGAATCTTGTTGCGTTGTATATTAAGTAAGATTTTTATGATTTTTTATTTCCGCATGTCTTATCATCTTGTGTTGTGTCTCTTTCCTTTTTGTCTCATTGCATCGCAATACATAATATCTTAGCTTCTGTTTTGAGTTGTGTTGGAATATTTTGTACCACTATGGCATATTGGGCTGTGTTCCATAACATTGTGTGATGTGTTCAGATGAGAAATTCAGTGGATACTGAATCCATTCAGTTTGCTAGAAATATATTTAGCATTAGTGTGTTGTTGCTTTTTTTCACCTTTGTCCGGGGTATCCCTCAGAGTATTTATTGTTCAGGCAGGAACCCTGTGCCTCGAGGGCAGCGCGGCTGCAGAAGTTCTGATTGGACAAACAAGCACAGTGTAAATATGTGCGTACAGTAGCTGTTTTCAAATTGTGCTGATGTAATTATGACACTGCTGTTATTCACATCCTTGACTTAACATGAGTTATTTGATTTTCCCGAGTTCATCTGTGCACAACTAATAACAATAAAAGCAATTTTAATCTGCTAAATGTGTTCTTTAAATTTTCAAAAGGAAAATACAGGGCTGTGGGAAAAAAGGGAGAAGAAAAAGTTGAAGAAAAAGAAAACAGAGATAAATGACATTTCTTGGCTGTCTCAGTCCCTCCTCTCCTCCGCTCCCACTCTCACCTCAGCTTATTTTTCTCCTTCAGTCATTCAATCATTCTAGTGAGGCTCAAAACAAGCCTACTGCCTCACTTGAAACTCCGACACTTCAGACTAGTAAGTAGACACAGAAAAACACACATATATCCACCACTTCCCCTCCTCCCCAATCTCAACTGAAAATGTGTGGATCAATGGAAAAGCCTTAGTGAGGAAGCTAATCGGATCATTTGATTGATTCCAGGAGAAAATAAAAATCATACAGGGGCCCTCGGCTGGGAGTCAGCCTGCAGCAGCGGATGACTGACAGCATATGCCCATGGGATGAAAATGTTCTAGATGTCATTGTGACTGTTAGAGCTGTGGATTACTTTTGCAGAAAATATGTTAGGAGGGGAAGGCAAAAGAAACTTCAGGACTCTAAAGGACACAGTTAAACTCCAGGGACAGAAATTCTGGAGATTTCTTCATTCTCTGCTGTGGAAAAGCTCAGAATTCTGTTACCATCATGTCCACTTTATTCACATTTTACAAACTTTGAATTTAGACATGTAAATTCCGAGCAAATTTCCTTCCATAGGGTAACCAACTAAGATCAGAATGTATATTGTAATGTCTTGCTATAAAGTGATAGCTATGCATTTATATGAAGCGCATAAAAAGAGAGGGTGTTTCCGGAGGGGAGAAATCGGTGAGTTTGTAATTTTTGTTCAGCATAGAGGTGACCTTTAAAACACACCTGCTTATTAGCACTACTTTCACACACTATATGTGAACCAAGAACAAAGCAAATATTTATACAGTAACTTTTAAGTCTTCCCAACAGAGGTCGGTTCACAGAATGCCTGGATATGGATGCTTTAGGTTTACACTCAGACATAGATGTGTTTGGTGTTTTTCCTCTTTAATCCGTTGATGGTACATTGGTATGGTTTGTTTTGAGGCTCGTACCTCTGACGCAATGAGCTCCAGACCCCGACACTGCCTGTCCTTCTCCTGCTGCAGGAGGCTCCACATCTCTGGGTCGTCCTGGGCCAGGCTTTCCTGTCCCGTCCACCCGCCTCTGCTGCTGAGGCTTCGCCTGCATGTCTCTGTGGGGATCTGCCCCTCTCTCCCCAAACGTGCTGAAACCCTGTGGAAGAGGGACTGTGGCACAGGACGGTTGATGAGAACAGAATCATTTGAATCCCAACCTCATGTGTGATAATTATAATTCTGTTTTCAAACTCAGCACGCAAGTGTGGGAAGACCCCCTGGAGAATGAAAGCTACATTGCTTGCTGTTCATGATAAGATAAGATTCTTCTTTTTTTTTTAGATTAAAAGACTATTGTGGTTTAAATTGTCTGGCAGAGTGAAACATTTCTTTGGGGGGTTCTTTTTTGTTTTTGTTTTTCAAAATTGCTCCTTTGGTGTCTTTTGAAACCATCATGAAGAGTGAACTTGCATTAAAAACACTTTAATCACTCAATATTGTACTTTCAGCAGGGATTTAAAATGCAGGGAGTTACAATAATGTGTCTTTTGATGTTCTAAAATAGCCATTCAATAAAATACAGTGCAAAACCAAACATGTTATTTGCTGGAGCAGATCAGAAAAACCTTGGACATGAAAGGGTTTGTGAGCTGAGCAGGGTCTTATTTGTTGAAGCCAGCTTGTCCTTGCGTGATTGTTAGGTAACTATGTGTCACTTTGGCCTAATGGGCAGATTACTGTAGGAGAATACAAACACAATCAAATTAATCTTCTTTCATTTTTCACATAAATCCGTTTCTGATATGTGAGTATACTTTGTGTAAGAGTTGTGCAACCCATGCACTACGCGACAAATTGTTTTTGAATTGCAAACATTTTAACCATAGATAGACAATTTCAAAATTCAATAGAGCAACCATACTCCACCAAAACAGACAGTTCAGGTAAACTGAGGTGACAAGCTGACCTACTTTGTGGTAATGAGTTATTCAGTAACAAGTGACTTACACGCAGGGGATGATAACAACTCCTAAATCACCATGCATGTGTTTTGTGAATTATAGGAGAATTGTACTTACCCGAATGGGCAGCCGTAATGACAGAGAGAGCATGTTTGTGACAGCCGAGGTCTTGGGAAAACTGAAAACTTCTATGGTCCAAAGGTTGCATGTAAGATCATACTGGAACCAAGCCAGGGACATGCGTACTCTGAGTCACCGATAAAATGACCACTACAGTTAATAATCTTATTCATCTCACTCTATATGAGTTTCTTTGAAGATGAAAGGTTTGATTGATAGAAGCTGCTGCTGGTCAAACAAAGAAGGTTAATTTTCTGCTTAAAAAAGCGCACATGGTCAGCCCAAGTCGATTAAAAAATCTGAAGATGTTGTGTCCCTTTATATGTACAGTGTCTTGTGTATTTCAATGAACTAAGGAGTAATTATAGAGTAGAGCCATCAGTTGCAATGTATCGACTTTGTGTGAGAAGCTTAGCAAAATGCATTTTCAAAAGACTCAAAGAAAAAAACACTGTGTCACGTTGTAGCTGATGAGAGCGTCACAAACAAGATAAAATATGTTTCTATGCTAAAGATTAGAACGGAACAATCATTCTTGAATCCATCTGGAAAACTGAAAGCATGATTTTGAAGCATTTATGAAGGACGTATGAGCGGTGAGTGTCTCAGTTTCAGCATTTTGGAGTCTATCATCCGTGGTGCTGCTGGTTCTGCTCAGTCTGAAAGTTGTGATCCGGACAAACCTTCTGCACCAGCCTGTAATCTGTGCCGGTGAAGGCAATAAAGATGCATATAACCTTAAAAGGCTTGGCGCAGATCCATGCTGCTTGGGACTGGGTGTTTTCGGAGTAGCAGGTCTGTCCTGGGTCGTACATGCAGGGTTTGGTTTTCTTGGACCTGTTGGTTCTTTGATACTCGATGCGGCAGTTGAGTTCAGTCACCATCATCATGTCCCGTTGATGTTTCTGTTGTTCAGAAGAAGTGGAGCTTGTAGAGTGAGGAGTTCTTGGGAGCTGTGATGTCAAATCTGGAAGTAGGACAGAGTTTTTTATGTGAGTGCTTTGAGGTGAAGGATCCAGGATCTCCCATTCCACAGTTTTGGAGGGCGGCACAATGCTGACTGATATGTTCCCCAGACGGGATGAGTTATGACGGAAATAGACGCTGAATGTTCCATTGATGTGATCTACAATTTTTCCAGTCACCAGGAGGCTAAACTTCATTGTTTTCACATTAAAGTAAAAATCCCCCCAGCCCAGGATCTTTTTTCCCTTTGGGGATGCTTTGGCCGGAGGTTTGGATTTTGAATGAGGGCGGTACGAATGCTGGTCAGGAGCCTGTGAAAAGTTTTGAGGCCACCCATACGGGCTGAGTGAGCCGAAAGCAGGTGTTTTGCTTTTGGTGGAAATAATCTGTAAATCTTTAGAGACAAGTTTAATCTTTAGTGCTGCCCCCTCCGCTTCATTTCCCCCTAATTCCTCATCTCTCTGTTCACTCTGGAGGTCCGGTGGCCTGGGTGTCTCTTGGACCTGAACAGAGCAGAAGAAAAAAGTCTTGGTCACACTTGGTCACGTCAAATTGAATTTTTTTTAAAAATCTCGTCAAGGTGTCAAAAACGAATATGATTTACAACACAATCATTACAGTCCCGCAGGTTTAAGCTTTAAAACAAGAAATAATTCAAGACACTGAGGCAGAACACCTTTTTTAATTCATCAGAAGGCTTTACAGATACCAACCAACGCATATGTATCAAAAAGAGTGCAGGGAACAGTACAGAATGGCACCATGGGTTCATCGATTAGCGTTGTTTTTGTTTATTTACATGAAAAACGGCCCTTTATTAAAACTGTTCTAATTTTTACGTCTAAAACCTACATCTATACAGTATCCATACTGATTTACGTAAAAACTTGTCTGATCGGGGCAGTAAAACAGTAACTAATAAAAGTTGTTCACTGTAAAACGTATCAGCTCAAAGTCACAAAGAGAAGACACAAAACAGCCTTCCCCACAAATGGTGACAAATGAAGGACGGTATAATGGTGGCTATATAACACTGAAGCAGGTAATCGATTAAAATAATTATTCCTTCCTTCTGCTCATACACTGAGGAAGGCTCAAAATTGAATGTGATCGATAGATAATCTCCTTTAGGCAAAGAGGTACAGTCACATTCAAACAGCTATTAAGACAAATTTAATTCAGCTGGCCGTCTTCGAACGCTCTCCCATTCCCTTGTTAAAACTATCACTCATCCTATCAGTGCAACCTTGATAAAGGGCAGGCTTATTAATCAATATTGGAATTGAGAGGGCAGGTCTCTGAAGGATCAATTAAATTACAGACATTTAAGAGTATAGTGTTTGAAAAGGAAACTACTTCCAGAATATTTTCCACATTGAGCGCCTTTTCAAAACATGCCTCAGACGTATAAAAGAGATCAATCTTTTCCAGACGTAAATAAACCAATTTTCCATTCACATATTAATCTTTTTGTGTCTTTTCTTTGGAAATGCGTTTTGTATGTGTATGTGTACATTTGCACGTACACAAGCACACACACACAACAGCTCTTTCTCCAAGTTAAACATTAGCATTAAACCACTTTCATATTGCACGCCAAACAACAATGTAGCATTAAACTTTCTAGTTAAGTTGCAGTTGTTTTCATGTAAAAGCGTTGGTAGAAACTGTCCCTTTCAGTTTATAGAATTGCACTGAAGGTGCTGCATGTTTTCCTTGATTTAACAGTGGATTCTTAACTATGTCCCTTATCAAAATGTAGAAACACTAATTAATCCAGTCTGTGACCGAGATGTTTTTGTGAAAACTATTTGTCAGATTTTCAAGATAAACAAATTGAAACCTGAAATATCACTGGAAAAGGTGTGCCATCTCCTGCCACAAAAAGCCAATTTTACCTGTGGAGAAATAGTTCAGGATTTTTTGTGCCTGTTGTGGAATGAGTTCTGCACACTTGTCACAAGGAGCTTGATTTTTGTTTTTATTGCAACGTGTCAATGGCAGATGGGGATTTAAAGTTAGTCTCCCCTGGATTTCAGAATAAACAGTTCCCAAGGTATCATTATTTCTCGCTGACAAGTGGGATCCTCGGCTCACCTAACCACCCCATCCCTGTGTGACAGTCTCAGCCCTCTCCTCTTCCAGCTGTGCCTATTGTTACAGGCCTAAAAACCTCCAGCTATGTGCTGTTCTCACCCACCCTAATTGGAGCTCACAGTGTGACAGACGTGTCACTGGCTTAGTGTCAAAATGCCAGCACAGAGACTGCAACTGAGCAACAGCAAGGGAGTGGATGCAAGCACAACATATGAGAAAGCACCTGCAGAGGCAAAAAAACCTACCAAAAAAACTAAGAAACTTGAGAGCAGTATTTCCTTTATTATAAGGCATTGAGGAAGGGTCTTGCCAACAAAGATGCTACAAAGATGCTAAATGGGGCTTTTTAAGGTTTGAAAAAAACAAACAAATAAAGCAACAATGTTTCTGAAACCCCAGTGAGATGAAATTGTGCAGACAGAGCCTGCGTTTTTGTACGAAAACGCAAATGATCACGTTCACTGTGCATACTCAGCATTAAAACGACATGCCACAGACAGCTGACTGCGCATCTTTTTTTAATGAATTCTAGCTGAGATAAACTTTTAACAAAAAACTGTTACTAAAAAATTAACTTTAAGCAGTTTCTCTGCCTCCTAAATAAGAATAATTTACTCTTCAGTCAGTGAAACCATGCCATTTGATTTATTATAGAACTACTGTAAGTTAGGATGAATTAAGGATGCACACATTTTTCAGATACTCAGAAACAAAAACCTCAGGGGAAAGAAGAAAACAGAGAGAAAAATAGCAGTTCGATAACACAGTGCAGGAAAACAAGGAAATATGAGATAAGTATTTGCTCTGAATCTCTTTGTTTATCCTGTCAGAAATACTTATGAAGCAAATGCAACTCCAACAACACAGTGTGAATAATGAGCAGAGGCTCGGAGTAGAGCCGACTCACCGCTGAGGGAAGAAGCCACAGACAGGTGATGGCAAAGTTTAAACACAGAGCCCTCATTTTGCAGCAGCGTTTCTCCATCCAGAAGTGATTTGTCTGCCCCTGTGATTTACTGATTTAAAGTCTACTCTTTCTCATCTGCAGCGAGACACAAAAATCCACGAGATTTGAGAATACTCTGCTCAGCTCGTCTCCTCCCTCCCTCACTCCCACTCTCCCTCCTGCCATTTTTCTCTTACTCTCCTCTTTAACACACACACACACACACACACACACACACACACACACACACAAATCCACTTCACAAGAACAAACAGTTCTTAAAAGGCGTATTCTGAGCAGCATTATGCTTAGCAAGCAAAAAGCCAGCAGAGGACAAATCAAATTTGTTCAAGAATAATTGATCATAGGTACAGAGGAGCACTACATGTACTCTCACAGACACACACACACATCCTTAACTAGACTGTTCTCATTTTCACCACCTGGCCAGTGGTTATTATGACTCATCAACCCGAGGAAAGGTGCTCTCGGGCAGCCACAGTTTGACAGCCCACCCTGCTGTCCCCACATACTTTAGCCACAGGGAAGCTGACAAAATGACAAGGGTTATCTGCAGGAGAAAAGTAAATTACTGACGTTTGGGGAGCCACACTGTATATCTCGGTGGACCTTCCGGCAGACAAATCCATTGGTGCCGACCCAGGAGGAGTTCAACCAGCTCAGAACACAGCAGGACAGAAACCCCAAGACCATGACCAAATGAGATTTCTCAAATTAGAATTATCATTTGTTTTAAGTCTGTCGACTTTTACTGTTTTAAAAGAGTTCTAATATCAAAGCTAAATGCAAGGATAGTTCTTATAGAAACATTAGCTTACCTTTTAAATACTGAATATAGCACTTGATTGAATACATTTCTGATAATGATGAGGATCCATATTTAGACTAATGAAGTCAAGGCTGATTCCAATGAGGTTATGGATCTGATTTTTACGTGCAGTTTAGTCTTTTTTATGCCAAACGGAATGCAAATTGCTCAGCAAAACAGTTCTGATCTTACATTTCTATTTATACATTTAACAGATGCTGTGGCGGATGCAGTAAAGTGTTTTTAGGCAGGACACTGTTAAACTTAGTCTGAAAGTCCTCCAAAGATCTCCTGAAGATTTGAAATACATTCAAAATGGATGTTTACTTGATGTTTTCTTCAGGGAAACAGCCCCATGTCACATAAAGTGAGAAATGTTTGCAAGGATGTTGATCAAGCAGCTGCATGATCCTCAATAATTCCTTCCTTCATTTTCTTAAATGGGTTTAACTGTCTTTGAATTGTATTGATTACAAAGAAATCCGATGATGCAAGAACCAGGGTGAGTGTACATTTAAGATGGTCTATAGATTGTTACCAACGCCTTGCAAGTTAAATTAAATAACTGAAACTACTGTGACCTCTCCAACTTTGAACTTTAACAGTGTTTTAGTATTTCATGAATAAAACAAAATACCCCATTCTCGGATAGGAGTCAAATGTGAACAGAAAGGCAGGAAGAAGAAGAGTTTGATACGGTAGCAGTATGCGCGTTCCACCACTAGAGGCCGCGCAAAGTCAACCAAACCCAAGTCACGCTTTCTTTTTGCTCCGCAAAACGTGTAGAAGATTGATCGGCACTTCGATTGACTAATAAAGCGCAGATTTATTTATCTTTCGTATTATGTATAATCTAGTGCTTACTGAATACGACAAGGTAGACGGGCCTAAAATATTGGTCTTGTATTGGATTCAGCAAAACTAAGAAACGGGCTGCTCTGCTCGCGCATGCGTACATTTATATAAAGTATTAGTACATGTGATAGTTAGACAGTTAAGTGTGACATTGTTCAAGTTTAATAAAGACAAACATAATCCATGTGACAAAGTGTTAGGTCATTAATCATCGTACGAATGATGAAGTAATTTAACGAACAGGAGTAAACGTCATCACTATCCCACAATGCATCACGCTTGAAACATTAAAGTTCGTCTTTCTATTTCTTTCTCAGAACAACTTATTACTACTACTGTTGGCTTTATTTTATTTAATCACCGTTAGTCTTTTACTTATATGGCTTTTCATAAAGGTACTTTGTTGAACCGTGACTGATAAAGGTATGTCAGGGAAATATATCGGCTATTTTGACTCGGAAAAGACAGCGCTCTTGTTTCTCTTCAGATCGTATAAATCTTTCGCCTTTTACTAAAGATTTCCGTGGAGAGGAACAACAAGAGTTTCACTCAATTTTTTGATGCCCTGCGTCATGCGGGGCTTCCTTTGCCTGTTAAAAGAAAAATAAAAGTCAAATCTTCATCTATGTAAAGCATATACTATTAATCTCTAGGGGGGCGCCAAAAACTGTGTTGCTCTAGATATAATAAGATAAGAAGTGTATGAATGAAGTCTATTAGAAAAGAGCAAAGCAAACACCGAACATCTCGAAAGTGCCCTCTCAATCTAACTACAACAAGTTACGAGTTACAAGTTACGCTCGTATCGCCTTCAAGTCACTATTAATGGTTTGGGGAATTCAGTGAGTGCGTACTTTCGCCCCCTGAAGCTGTCTTTAACCAGGCTCAGTCTCAGCTGGTTTAGAGTCGGTGTGGTTTTATTCTGGCTGTTCCTTTCACACTCCGCTCCACCAGGTGGGGCTAATGGCAGAGCGACCAGATTACTAGCAACCATTAACAATCTAGGAAGAAGAGAGCGAAAACAAAATGTCCGCAACCACTCATGAACAAGTCGCTGTCCATTTCTTTGTGATTTTCGGTCTCCAGATCCCCATAATTACATCGACTGCTGAAAGATTAGCGTTTGCTTGGCGAACGCTAAATATTTCTTATATATTTGTGTGATAACTCACCAGAAACACACGCTGTCTCCTTGTGATAAAAGCCATTTCAATGAGATGCCGCTGTCTTGCGATTATAAAATGTAGTAATGAAGTTCCCAGTAATGAATTAGCTAATAATTACTTGGTATTGTGCGGTCTTTTATCCTAACAACGCTCCCAAAAACGCCCAACGGACTCCTTGTACAGTAATGTTGAGAGAGCCTCTGAATAGTTTGTTTAGCTTTGCTCTACGTGTTATTACCCTATTTTAACCAATGAAAATTATTTAAAGTGGTTCAGTTCAAATCCACCCATATTCATTTGTCAGCAGTTGCAAACATTCAAATAACCTGAATTTATTCTCTGTAACTTTTAAAAACGGAATCCAGGCAGTAACCCTGTTTTTTATTTAACCCGTTTTCTTTTTTGTGGCTGTAAATGAATCAGCAGAGTTCTAAATGCATCCAGTCTGTCTGCAATTGTGAGGGACAAGTAGCATCGAGCATGAGAACATAAAAATATAATACACGTTTTCAAGCTATCATTGTTATTCAGATGAATATGATGTTGTTAAATCGTATTATGTCGATAAATTAAACCCATGGAACAATTTGAGATTCACTTTCCACAAAACTGCCTTGTACAAATCCTAAAGGGAAATTTGTAAATCTGATTTGTAGCTTTGATCAAAATGTATCTCTAAAACAGTTTGGTGAAACTAGTTTAGAGTTTCATTAGGTCATTATTATATCCATCCAAGGTTTTTTTTCACCACTTCATCATTGTCCACTTTAAATCATGCGGCAGTAGTCACTTGTATTGCTGTGCTATCAATAAGAAGCTCTAACTAGGCAATTCATACTAAAGACATAGTATAATCTCTGAAACACATCACAAAATTACATCACAGCAAACTTTTTTTTTTTTTTACTGTGGCAGAGAAAAGTCCAGCAAGCCTGTTCTTTTCCTTAGGTGACAAATGTAAAAAAAAAAAAAGAAGAAAAAAATCTTGGATTTGTCGGACAGGGACGTGTGCAGTTGTTGCTGATATTCAGAGTGTGCTGGAGGCTTTTTCATGCCATGTCGTGGTCTTCATGTCACACTGATCTCATGTCCAAGTGATCTCCTCCAGCAGATCAGCGGGGAAGTAGCCCAGCTTGCGTCCAGTGCTGACCTTCAAGTAGCCTCCTTTTTCATCTCCTTTCTTCACCACAATCTGAAATTGGGAGAGACAGCTGAGCTGCACCAGTCTTTCAGAATAATGTTACATTTGTGCTCTGATACAAAGAAGTTTAGCAGGAAGTTGCAGCCAGACAAAGGCTTTTAAGAGATATCTTAACCTAAGCTTATATTTTCACACTTAGACGTTTAGTAAATACATACATCATGAATTAGGAAAGTTACCTGATCTTTCTTGAGAGTTATTTGTCCCATTTCTCGGTTCCCGACGAACGAGCGGGTCACCTTGTAGACTCTTTCTGATGCACGAACTTTTATGATGTAGTTAGTGGGGAAATATCCGGTCTTCTCCCCCATTTTTCCCTTATAAAAAGCAAAGATAATTTGAGTTACACCTCACCATTGATTTAGATAGACAAAACTTAGCCTGAGCTTCAATACCCACAAAGTTAGACTCACCCTCCACCACTCTTCATTGGAGTCATCCAGTACTGTGATCCGATCACCAGGGCTAATGCACAAACACAAAGTTTTGTTCTATAAGACTATTCTGTTTACTGCATCAAAATGCAAATGCTTTCCATGTTTCCTCTTCTTCTTTTGTAGACCTACTGGAAGTCGAGATCATCCTTCTCAATGGCCTTGAATCGGTAGAGTGCCAAGTAGTAGTGGGATCCGGTGAACGTCCCCTTACTCTGATAAAAAAAATAGGATAAATCCAGCTGTAGCGTGAGGCAGGCAAAACCAGCGTCCTGAGGGTGTTTAAACGGTCCCCTTTGTTCTCACCTTGTCATCTGCCTTGTCCCCTCCTTTCTCTTTTTTGTCCTCCGGCTTTCCTGCACACACATCAGCCAAAGAGACAGTCGGTTGTAATGAACAATAATTTCTTTGGACTGTTTCAGTTATACAACATCTACATGATTTTTGTTGTTGTTTAAAGTAGCTGAGCAGGTTTTACCTTCTCCCCCCTCTTCATTCTCTTTTGGTTGTTGGTTTTCCTCTTCCTCCTCCTCCATCATCATCATCATCTGAAGTGCACCATATATCAGTTTTTAGAAAAAAAATTGGAATCGAATTACAAAAAAGGAAAGAAAGACACTCACGTTTTTCTTGTCATTTTCATTCTTTTTGCGCTCTTTGTTGGCCATGATGACACCGACCCTCAGGGTGTCAAAGACTGGGTCGTTCCGGTTTGGGTTGTCTGTTCAAAGATGATAACTTTATTAAACAACCAGTTTAACTTTCCAGGTAAGCTCTGGATACCAATATATCAACATTTATCAAGGAAAGAAGCTGTTTCCAGTTTAATCAACTGTCCAACATAGAAGCTGTTTCTGTTTTCCCGAAAGTAGCCATTTGAAGACATTCTCAAGAATTTAAAATAATGAAATAAGCCATAACACCATTCTAGATTTGGTGGACTCACTTGGATCAGGTTGGTCACTGCTGTACAGGGGAGAGCTGTAGGCCCTTCGGAAACCAGGCGGCTGCAGAAAAAAATCACAGCGCCTTGTTTGAAAATCAAGTCAAAACCTGCCCATTGACAGGAAGGTCCAAAAACATTTTAGTTGCATGATTTATAGTATACCATATCAACGTCAATTTAATTCTAAGAGTTTCGTTTAAGTTCAAGAGCACAACAGGGAACTCACAATTTTACCAAAGCACCGCTGGAACTCCACATAAGACTGACATGAATGGTGGATGTTCGTCTTACAGTTTCGGCACCTCAGACAAAACTTGTTGTTTACTGAAAGATGGGTAAAGTTGAGAATAATCAGAAACGTGGCTCCGACAAAGGTTTTCATGTTGAACAAATGAATAATACAAGGATTTATATGATATTTCTCTTATGGGTCCCAAAAAGATTTCTTTTTCATGATACATACAAACTATCATTCGAGCACAGACGTCACAGAACTTGGGTTTCTTGCAGTAATGGTCTTTAAACTTATGGGGTTTGTCGTTGATCCGAAGGACAGGCTCTGGAGGAGGTTCCGGTTCCTTCTCCTCCACCTCAACCTCCTCCTCATATATGAAGTAGACCTGGATCCAGAAAGGATGCAAAAAGCATGAACAGTGTTCACATGACTCACCTTAAATAGGTACTAATCTAACTGGAGTAAAAAGAATATTTAGTTGTCAATATTACATTTGAAAAAGCTACTTTTTTTTTTAACCCTAACAAGAACATTTAAAAACAGAAAACACAATGTCCTCACAGATCAGAGACTATGCTTCACACAACTGATGCGGCCTGTCCCAGTGGGCGGCTATTTTAAACAGTCTGGGAATGGCATTGCTAATCATGGGTGGACATGGTTCTGTCACTCACAGTGTCTCCATCTTCTCTCACAACATTCTCTGGGGCTGGAGGGTTGTCATGGATGTCCACAGAGTTTTTGTCATCCTCCCTAACGCACACGTAAAAAAAAAAAAAAGAAATGTGATAATATAACACAGTGAATAGAAAGGTGAGAACTGCCTCACATGGGGGGGGCATCGATGGAAATTGTTAATTTCTTTCATTTGAAGTGTCTTTTTATATCCTGCACACATTCAAACACACCAAGGGAGAGTGTTTGGTACCATACTCCAAAACATTTCAAAGCACTGACTAGAGCCAGGGGCCCGACCACAAATGCCACAAATGTCTTCAAGATGACTGTTTGTCCCTGACATGCTTTGTGCCAACATCGTGCCCCCCTAAGAAAGAGTCAGGTAACCTATTTTCTTCCACTAACATGGAGCTGCTTTAATCTTTTCGTGCAAAAAGAGACATGGCTCATTGATGATTCAGTCTTTAGAGCAGAGCATGGGGATGTGGCACAGAGGTGATTAAATCCATTTAGATTGATTTAGAATATACTCACTGATCCATGGTGTTGTCTGGTCACTATCGCCTGGCCTGGAGAGAAATCAGAGCTAGGCTTTATTTTTGTCTGTTGTCCCAAAGGACTGTGGGAAACCAAATGAAATTAGGTAAAGCCAAGAGAAAAAGTCTTTTTTTTTCACTTTGATGATGCGCTTTATGAAATACCGGGAAACTATTTTTTCATTTAAAATAGAGTTTCTTTTTTACATTTGATATAACTAGTTACAAATCAAGCTTTATGTCCAGCAGTTTGTCACAGTTTGAATTTGAAAGGAAATTACAACTAGTAAAAGACTTTTATTTATCGGCTGTGACACATATATTTTATTTGAAATGATATGTATATGGAAGATGTCTAAACTACAGAAACTACAGAGTAGTTTAAATATACAGAGAAATAAAAGCAAATATACACAGTTATAGTGAGTATGAATAAGAGATTATGTGTTTGTAGGCATCATAGACCTACACATACACACATGCAAACACACAATGCTTGACTGCAGTTGCCAACCACACTATTCTTGGGTCCTGAAATTCTATCCTCTCACGGCTAAATTTGGGATGTGCGGTCAGTAAGAAAAAAAACCTTTCTGGGAGATATCAAAAAAGAAAAAAAGAAAGAACAGAAATGAAAAACAAGCACAATGCCAGGCATACTTTTGTGGTGACTTTTAAAGTAATATAACTTTGTCAACAGAGTTAAATCAAACTTCAAACTCCACGGACACAGACTTTGAATTCAAGTCGCAGAACAACGTACCTTTTGTCCAAATTTGTGTAGATCTCACAGCGAATTTACAAATCCAGTGTTGGCAAAAATCTGTGAATGAGTTCTTCACCTACTGGCAATGACTTGAGTGCCGTATGATCAGTATAGGTTTGTTAAACAAATCAGCAGACCAAAATGCCTCCTCACCTCAGGACCTCATGATGAAGTCTGGTCCCCTGTTTATGGTCCCTCTATGTTTTCCACTCCGATTGTTGACGCCGAGTGTTACCCAAAACACTCATGCCTTTTAAAATTCTTTGAATTTGTGTGTCTGTGATACTTGTGTGCGTAACTAAGTGTACAGCAAGCTGGGCACGGCTATGTTAAGTTGACAGTTTGCGACAGCTGAGGAACCACCAGTGACGAGGGGAAATCAGACACCTTTTCTCCCTCTTTCTTTATTACACACCTCTTTCCTCTTGTCTCATAAATGCACAGACAACACAAATACACAAAAACAGACTGAGGCCTAAATTCCGTACACTGCCATTTTCTTTTGACTTGTGGAAATTCTGATTGTCTTTACTATACATTGTCTGAAATCTATGATACGCAGAGAAATGTATCATAGGCCAGAGTAGAGGGAATGGTTTTAAGTTTGATTTGGAGGACATGATGACGATGTAATAAAACTCAGTAGACGACTTCTTTTGGACATCAGGGCCATAGTTACTAAATAACATCCTCAGCTTTGGACCTAATTCTGGGTTTAGCTGGAAGACCTGTATCAGATCGATACAAATTATTACAGGCAACCTGCCTTTAGAAGAGGACGTACAAGGTATTGTGGTGTTCTTACTTTTTCACATTTGCTACAAGTTGCGCTTGGTGCCCTAACCTGAGGAGTGTTCTCAAAGGTAAAAGTAATACCAGTTCCATGACATCACTTGATGGCAAAATCTATCATTTGTTTTTGTTTTAAAACATCAGTGTTGCACACTTGTGTGTTTCATTTTTTAAAAAGAAATACTGAAAGTGCAACATTCAGTATGATAATGCTAATACCTTTTGAGCAAGTTTTATCTCCAATTAACCCTAAACATGTTTTAATAGAAAGATTATATTGCCAAAAGTAATAGAAACGCTGGAGAATTTGGCAATTTTTTCTCTTTATCACTCCCCCTACAGCTGTTGGTAGTCATGAAATACAAAACTCCTGTTTTATAACCCCTTTATACCTCCTGTTATAATAGATGTATAATATATAATATAATATGATATAATATATAATATATTTCTCTCTCTCTCTCTCTCTCTCTCTTTATGTATATATATATATACATATATATATAATGGGAGCGTACTCATTGACCATATATGGGTGCGAAATATACGTAATCCGGGCCTGTTATTATTCAGTCATTATCACGCCGTCCATCAAGGGGCTCGACAGTGCACTCATGTCTGTCTGGAACACTACAAAGGTCCCGTTGCATGTTGGGTACAATATTCCCGAAGCGCCGAGTGCGCATGCCCAAAAGAAAACTCCATTATTTTTTTTGCTCGGAATTTGTAAGAAAAAAAAAGAAGAAAAAAAACAAAAAAACATTGGGCATCTGTGAATTGGGGATTACATGGGTCGTTATGTTTGTCGGAGAACACTTGAATGCTACGTGGTTTAGCAAAATAGAGACCAAAGGAACGGCTGGATAGCTGTGGACCTGGAGCGGGACATCCCTCAGTCTTGCTGGGACTCTCCAGAATCAAGTAAATTTCAGTCAGTTAGCTCTGTCGCTAGCCTAGCTGTTAGCGTTAGCTCCTAGTACCCAATCGCAGTAAAAATGGAGCGTTATTTCCCTTTGTTTTTCATTCCTACTGGCTTACGTTGCATAAATGTAGAGAGCTGATTCAACGCGTCGCTGCGTGATTCGGATTACATAATAATTGATGATACAGCCATTTATCAAAGCATAACTCGTTTTCAAAACATTCCCTGGCTAGTACTCTTGCTAGCCAGCTAACTCTTGATTCTCCCGCGAGCCAGAGAAGCGAAGACTTAAAAACTTGGCCAACACAGAGCTTGACGTATTGAAAGACTGTTCATCAATAATTCACGTTATCGAACGTATATCTATCTGTAAGTAAGTGTGACATGTTGCTCAGATGACTTTGTTTGTTTAGTTTGTTTTTTTGGGAGGTTTATGGGAAGCAATACTATGCACGGGTCGTTTCTTGTAACCGTTGCTAACACACAAGAGTTTTGCATCGGAGTGTTTTGTGCGCCTGACAGCTGTCACAGTGCAAAGTGGGGCTAGCATGCTAGCTTAGCTTTTAGCCTAAACGTTAGCTGCCGTGTAGTCAGTGGAATATTATGTAATGGCTGCACGCTGCATATGTATCGCAGTCTGTTGTTGAATTCAAAGCCTTTGTCGATTCTGTTTGGTCGTTATCTGCTGAGTTTGTCATTGGAGAGGCAGCTCCTCACATTGTAGCTGAACAGTCAGCAAACTACGGGCCTACCCAAACACACCCTCCTTCATCAAAGTAGCCACAGTTTGTTCTGAAGTTTTCCTTTCCCAGAGAGAACAGGGCGTCTGATGTAACAATTTGATCTAACACGGTCGGATGGGATCAGCTGAATGAGAGATTTATTGCACTAGTCATTTGCCGTGCTTCCCCATGTCAGGTTACATAATCCTCCTCCACCTTTCTTTGCAGGCACTCCATCATCATCCTCATCATCTACACTCCTGCTCTGATGTGTCCAAAACATATAAGTCTGTAGGAGTAATCCTAAAGGTGAAGGATCTGCCTCATACCGGGAGAGAAAGTCAAGTCTTTGGACAAGTCAGGTTTTACCGGCAGTCTGTGTGCTTCTAACCCCACAGCATGTACATTGGACAGTGGACACCTTAGCCAAAATAGATCCTGGCTTCCCAAAGATGACAAGGTATTTAGGGTTTAATTAATCTGTGCTTAAATTTGATTTGTGTTGTTAATTTTTTACATTAGCAGCATTTTTACTTTTGCTGTGGCCACACCCACCCTGAGCACATTTCAGGTCTTTAAACACTACTGATAACTGTAAAGATGTGAATATTTAAAAAATTTACTTTACATTAAATCCTGTTCACTTTGCCATAAGTGTTTTTTATATAAAATATGTAAATCAAATTAGCAGTCTAATCTTTGGAAATTTTCTTCCAAAAAAACAGCAAAAATCATCTATGTTTGGAATTCCTTAAGTCATCGTCCCTGTTACCACATCTGTTCTGGATGTCATGTTCCTGCTTTTTCCACAATCTCTATCATTTTCAAATACAGTTTATTTTTGATTACGTTAATCATTTTGTATATGTAGTTAAATTAAGTAGTTTGTTGAATAAAGAAGTGTTTTTTCTTTTTGATAATAATGTGTTTACACTTTTCCAAGGTGCTGGCAAGCCACAGCAACAAAATGATGGGTGGCAGTGACACTGTCAGCGGGGACAAGGAGGGGGTCCACACAGCTGCCATACATGTCCCCATTGGCTGGCAGAGGAGAGTGGAAGGAGGGCAGGTGACCTATCTGAGGTATGTTGGTTTGCTTCGCTAGGATATACATGTTGATTTATTATTTTTGTGCATTACTGTTTGGCCCACAAGTTATTTTTAGAATATACAAACAAATACCAGTGTGAATGTAGATGTTTTTGAGGGAAAAAATGATAACAGACATCAATAGCTCAGACATAAGCTGTCTTTTTGGCATATACATTATGTATGTTCCTTCATCTTGTCTTTGCCAGATCATTCTGTCATCCTAAAGAGTACTTTCACATTTCCTTGAGTGATTGACAGTGCAAGCAGGATACAAGAAACTCTAAAATTCTTTAGTTGTTTGGATATTTCCTTTTTCATTAACTTCTATGGCTTGCTCAGGACAGAATAGTTGGTGTGATATTGTTGCACAGAAATAACATCATATAATTACATTTCGATTTGGTCTTACATTCAGCAGACAACAATTTGCAGAAAGGAAAAAAATGTTGAAGGGAAGCCAAGCTATTTGCTACTCAGAACACCGTCATGAGAAGAGAGCAGAAATCTTTATCTGAAACAACTGAAAGCTTAAACATATCAAAACGTTTTGAGCAAAAGCTCTGTTGTGGGTCTTTACAATCCATTGATGCATACAAAAGCCCACAGCCCCCTGTGGCAATACAGATGTTCAGCAGCAAAGAAAGGTGAACATCTGTCTGATGCATAAATGTGTGAAAGTCCACAACATAGTGCTTGTTAAAACCTCTATGAATCTTTTGCGGTTTGAGTTGTTCTGGATGGCAAAAATGTACTTCTCTGCCGACTACCTTCTGACTAGTTTAGCTCTCTAGTTATTCCTCCTCCCATATACTAGTCTGAAAACTAAGAGCTCTTTGATGGCAGCCTACTTATTAATAGGTACTTCACCCAGCCTCAGTGTGGGAAAATCAAAGAATATACTTTCAAGTGAAGCAGTAAGTGTCTACAAAAAGTTCCATATTATTATTTTTCTTTATAGTTGCAAAATTGACGTGGATATTTAATCCTGCATTTAAAACGTGTTAATTGTGTGCTGACTTTGTTCAAATGTGCCAATTAAAATGCATCATAAATGCTGCCACTTTGATTAAAAGATCTCCCTGCCCTCTCCCTGCAGTCCCAGTGGCACAGCCCTGTCCACTCTAGGCGAAGTCAAGGCCTATCTGTTGACTGACGGTTCCTGTAAATGTGGTCTGGAATGCCCACTCATCATCCATAAGGTATGGTATTTGTGTATGTGTGTGTTATAACCTTCAATAACTGTGTACACAGGACTGCAAAGTACCTGCACAGGTTCCTGAATATTTCCGACTTGTTCCTCTGTTCTTATCGTGTTTCATCTTGAACCGTGCAGGTTTTCAACTTCAGTGTGGGTGTGAGGGTGGAACAGCACAGTCAGCCATTAGGTAAAGTGGAGCAGGACATGACCAAACTGTGCAATCACCGCAGGAAAGTGGTGGCGATGGCTGCTCTTTGTCGGAGTAGGCAGGCCTCACAGATTCCGTTTGACAACTTTCATCATCCAGGTAAACTTTGATGAGAAAATCATCTTCATCTACGTGTTTTCATCCATTAAAAGCACTTGATAAACAAACACTGTTGGGGTTCCAGGCGACGCTGCTGTTCTTAACTAAATGTTTTTGCAGCATCAGCACAAAGTTTTGAAAGTCTGCTTTATGGATTATAATAAAACCTCTAATAGATTAAATAGCTGGTGTTTTACATCAGAAATAAATCCATCTTAATTTGTCTTAATCTATACACCTCTTTCAAAAGACCAGCAGCATTTTATTCATTTGAGTGATCAATTCTGCACTGTAGCATTTGACGCTAATCCCGGTGAGATAGATTCAATATAAAAATTGTTCCTAATTATCGTAATTACTCTTGTTATTATCATATATTAAGTGTTCACAGAGATGGAGAATCCACAGTCGTTGTCTTAACATGGATGGACTATAGATTAAAAGTGGGGGAGAAAGATTTCTCAAAGCAAAATAAGTTAAGTTGTATAATTTACATAAGCCATGTATAGATAATGTATAGATAATGTTATCTTGGCATGTAGCTCTGAAACAGGTCCTTCTGCCATGTGTCAACACTCCACTTTAGACTTGCTTTTTTTCACTTCTTACTTCTGAAGTCAGAATTACTTTTTCATAGACGGAAACATGAACTAAAATAGCAAAAAATGCTAAATGTTTATAACCTTTTCTGTAATGACAAGTGAGCTCTTCAGTTGGAAGCATTTCCTGAAGTGTGATTGTTGGCTCCCTGCGGGGCTGGGTTGAGACATCTGCATGAGCAGACTGGGTTCCTGTGGGAGCAGGTGGTTGTGGTGTTGGATAAAACACCATCATGGTGAAACACTGCACTGTGCACTAAACTGTTGTGGTCCTGCTGGGTATTTCATTGGTAGGGATGAACTTAAACTCTGCTGACACATGTAAAGGATGGTGTGGATGAAATTCAACATGAACAGATGTTTTTAAAGATAGTTTTTGCTGCTCCTTTCTGAAAGACTTTTTTTCCCCTGTGGAGACTTCTCTGCACCCCATTTCAAGTGCCGTTCGCTTTAAGAGGAAAGGGACTTCCCCTTTAAGAGAGCTTTTTTTTTCTTTTCTTAATTTAGCCAGAGGAAGGAAGAGGATCATTTTTGGCAGCAGCTGTTCTGCATTTAGTTGGTTTGAAAAAAAGAGAAACAAAGGGGCAAATGGACATGTATGCTGTCCTGTATCATATAGAAAAAACTCACCTTTTCTCCATTCTATCTCAATAATATTGCAATGAAAAGTTGTCTGATGCTCACCTTCTGTACTGTGTTGTTTTTCTGAAGGTTATCTAATTTGTTTTGTAAAATTGTTCATTCAGATACATTGTCGTGTTTGTTTTCTGAAAATGGTGCAGAGTAAGGATGTGTTCTGCTTTGTCACGGTGGTATGGGTTGTCAGTAATGGACCGCAGTAGCTCAGTGACCTCCTGCCTTTCACTGACTCAGGTCCTGTCCAGTTATTTTTCCCAGCACCATGGATTATATTTTCCACCACAGAATGGCAGAAGAGGTCAATTATTTAATGTGAGCTGCCTAAGAGAGCAGAATCTGCTTATTCCCTTTTCAGATTTGAAGTCCAGTCTCTCACTCAGGTGTCCAGCATAAAAACCACATGTTTTACATCAGAAATAAATCTGTCTTAATCTATACACCCCCTTCAAAAGACTAAGATCATTGTGTTAATTTGAATGATCAAATCTGCACTGTAGCATTTGTCATGTTGAGATGGATTAAATATAAAAATGTACATAACTCTTGTTAAATTGACATAAAGAAGTAACAAAGTGTGTATGTGTGCTCCCGCTTTCAGATATGAGTCAAGGGGACAGCCGAGATCCTAAAGGAGAACCAGTGGAGCATAAAGAAGAGGAACGCGGAATTTACTATCCAAAATTCCATCCAGTTCCAGCTCGACTACACAACAGTTTCCATCCAAACCCATGTGTCAGCCCCAAATCGTCCCACCAGTTCATCTATTCTTACAATGGTTCCTCCCCTGTTCCCCACTCAGGCACAAACTCTCATCATCCCTTAGATGCTTTAAGACGACTTCATCATCCCCCTCTCCCAACATCTTCAACCGCTTCACCTAGCTCTTCATTAACAGCTCAGAGCACTGCCCAGAGGTCACCCCGCACCCCAACCCCACACAACATCAGTCAAGGTCAAAGAACACCCAAAACCCCCGAGACTCCCGGCTCTCCTCGTCTAGGACCCCTGTCATCACCTCCTCCTTCTTCCCCAATGTCCCTTGGCGGAGGAATGAGAGCACAGACTCATAGTCATCATCCTCATGGTGTTATTGTGGGAGCCCTGCCCGTTTCTCCGTCTCTCTCCCTGTCTCCTCACCAGCGATCCCGCAACCCGTCAGCATCTCCCTCTTCTCTGTCTGAGCATGGAGGAGGCTCAACAGCAGCAGAAGGAGGGCCAATGGGAAGTAGCTTGCCTCAGAGGAGGAGGTCCACCTCTTCTTCTCCTCACTCCCCAGTTCCTTGTGGCTCCCCAATCCCTAGTCCCCACTTCACCAAGTACAAGTTGGAAGAGATCGTAGAGCAGTTTAAGAACTCAGGCAACAGCAGCACTAATAATAACCACCTCCTAAACCCAACTAATCCCTCCTTACTGACCAACCAAAGCAGTAGTAACCCCTATGCTGTTTCTTCAAAGCCCTCAAAGAGCATAATGACTCAAACTGCCAGTGCAGGACCAACAGGTTTTGGGTTAAACTCTGCAGGACCCTCTAATTCACCTTTGGGGCCATTGCTAAACCACCATTATAGTCATCAGGGCAAGCTGCTGCACCCAGGTTCCTTTCCTGCGAGTAGCCTGCTCTCCGCAGCGGCTAAGGCTCAGCTGGCAAACCAGATAACCCAGGGCCAGAGCTTAAACACGGCCAGCAACCCTGGTGGCTTGCCCCCTTCTCTGGATATCTTGAAAGAGGCTCAGCAGCAACAAAAGGTAACAAACAGCACTTTACATAACAGCCACACTTCTGCTTCCATTGCTTCTGTCAGGCTTCCCCATCCCTCCCTCCCAGCTGCCTCCGCTGTTCTCTTTCCTCCATCCCACACTCTGGGCCAGACCCTGGCTTCCTCCTCACCCCACTTGCCTCCCACATCAGAACGCAGTGCGTTGCACAGGAAGAGGCAGCAGCGGTCTCCCACGGTGCTCAGCATGCTCCGAAACACGCAGCAGCTGGCTAATGGGTCGCAGAAGACTCCATCTGAAGAGGCTGTTACAGCAGTCATCAACCTTTCATCCTCTTCATTCCCCACCTCCTTGCAAAGCTCCTCTACCTCAGCCGTGCAGAACCAGAGTACTGTCATATTAGAAAACCATCATCAGAGCCTCCCCGGGCAGCTGCTCAGACCAACAGCACACCTTTCCAGGCCTCTTCGGCCAAATGAGGCCCTGGATTTCACTACAGGCCAGACAGCCACACCTCTTGTCTTGGATCCCCCGACCCAACCTTTGTCTGCTCTGTTACACCTGCTCAGTGTGCAGAATGCACAGGCCACTGCCTCAGCATCCAACTCTGCCTTAGCCCAGTCCAGAGGTGTATTTGTTGAAGGAAGTGGAGAGTCCAATAAACAGTCGCCATCGTCTCTGGTCTCCAGCTCTAATGACAGGAACCCACAGACTCAGTCCCCGTGTCGAACAGATAACACTAATCCTCTCCCCTTGGTGCAACAACGACTTTCGTCTCCTCCCTCCTCTTCTCACATTACACCATCAGAGTCTCAATCTCCTTCTCACCCGACTAGGTCAGGTTCTCTACAAAGAGATTCTAATTTTACAGTGCTATCCAATTCAAATTTAGCTCCCCACAACCAACGCAGTCCATCTCAGCAGACTCCTCCACCTCACGTCGACAAGCATCAGCCGGCCGTTAATCATATGCCCACAACAGACTCCGTTTTCAAAGCCTCTGGACAGACAGCCTCCCCGCAGGGAACCGTGGAGGTGGAGAGTGGTAGTAGCAGCACATGTCCATCTGTGGACATCAGTCACTCTCAAGGCAGTGTTACAGTAGGGATACCCTCTTCCCCAAAGCCTCTAGATCTTAGCAACCATGTCCTGGCCATTCTTGCAGCATCTTCCACTGTGACTCCGGGGGAGGGAAACTCCTCCAGCTATGCCACTGATGTTGAGGTGTCTTCCCAAGAAAATCAATCTACAGGTAAGAATGGCTATCAGTTATAGGTGTACGCAATCTTCACACGTGTTTATAGATTATCGCTTTTCTTTTTTCCGTTTGTTTTGTTTATCGTTGAGTGATAATACTAATAATAGTAATAGGTAATACTAACTCTCGACAGTCACACACTGTTTAAGCTGTGTGTGTGCTCCAATTTAACGTGTTTCTGAATATGTGTTGTTGATAAACCAGTCTGAACAAAAACAAATAATTGAATTCTCTCTATAGGACCAGAGCAACCTGGATGTTTAGACCCAAAGGCCCCCACGCTGACCAAACCCCCACCAGCCATTAGTCCCACGATCACTCCCTCCTCACATCATGAAGAGAATCACAGCCCTCCCACCCCTTCAGCTGTGGTCGACTCTGCTGCTTTACCTCTGGCAGAGGCTTTTCCCTTCATGAACCAGGAGCAGCTGCTTCAGCTCCTGTCATCTACAGGAGGTCTACCATCTCTTTTGGACCCCACGGTCTTGGCTTCGTTGCCACTTGGGGGGCTGTGGATGGGAGGACAACAGGCACAGATACCTCCTACTTCGGTTACACCACAACCACCTCAGAATCTTGTGGAACAGCAGCAGTCGGAACAGCAGCAGCTACTGATGCAAGACCCACAGCAGCAAAACCATGATCAGCACCAGAAACATCAGCAGATGAACACAAATCCTCTATTTCCCCTGTTGCCCTTGTTGAGTTGTGCCCAGGGAGAGCTACCTCTGAACCTCTTGGGCCTGCTTAACCCACTCCCATCCTCTGCAGGACAGGAACCCGATTTAACAGAAAAACCTAGTCTTCAGGCTCTACTTATGGCCTCTGTGCTAATTGGGCAACAGCAGGCCTCCCTGTTACCTTTGTCTTCACTGGGGCAGTTGAGCCAGGTCAGTGTGGAAATTCCTATCCCACAGTCCCAACAGATGCATACCAATGTGGAGGGCTTGACTTTGGACAAGACCCCTGGCCTCTTGGACCCATCCACCCTCACAGGCCCTGGGCTATTGGAGATCACCCAGGGCCTTCTTCCCATTACAGCAGGAGCCGAGGGCGCTCTCCAAGCCCTGCAGTCCCTGCTCCTTCCTGCCACTCTTCCTCCTCCCCCTGCAGCCTTCCTGCCCCTCAGCCCCGCTTTGCTCACAGCTGCCCTCAGCTCTGCTGAGCTCCACCCTCCTCCCAACCCCCAGTTAGCTCCTGCACAGCAAACCCAACATACCCAACCTCAGGTAGGCTTCCTGTCTCCTATCTCTCTCCTTTTATCTCATCCTAATTTCCCTAGCAATGGCAGTGAAATAATTTCCTGACTGCTCTATTGTTTCCCCACCTAACCTGCTTCCTTTCCTCCAAACCTGTCAGTCGAAACTAAGACCACCCTTAGACTGCTTTTGTTTACACTAATGTCCGATAGCAAAAAGCGCAGCCTTGTATAAATGCAAGATCTATTATTTGATATAAATTTACAGTTGAGATACTTAATTTACATGTATGAGCTTTTTCTTTCTTTCTATAATTCTGTTCTCAATTTACATACTTTTCCCCTTTTGGCTATCTTCTTATTTTTATGGACAAACCCTTTAAAACCTCCCCCGTTCTTTACTCTGCTTTATGCCACAGGTGCCCACTGATGCTGGTGTTGACACCCTCATCCCTGTGTCTCTCCAAGGCAAGGACAACCCGGTCCTCCAACAGCTGCTGCCCACTTTGCTTAATCCTTCATTGTTAGGTGAGTTTACAGCCATCTATTTTTCTGAAGATAAACTGCATTATAATAGGAAGAAATTCAAAAATTGCTTGGAGTTTTACATTTTTTAGCATTGCAAGGATTTAACAGCAGATTTTATGAGAGCGTTTGTGGTTTATTACTGTTGTAGGAGATCTTTCTGGCATCACAGGTCTTCATAACATGGTAGGAATTGGAGGAGGTTCCATTCTTCTGTCCCCAGTCCAGGCCTCTGCTTTGGGTATGTCTCTACTACAAGGCCCTGATGGAGCCATCAACTTACTTAACAATCTACAGGTAAGTAACTAGCATATACCTCAGCACAAGGTTATGTTACTATATGATATTATAGTTATTTGATATATAATGTAAATATATTACATAGTTAATATTGTGTAACCGGTTATTGTTATTTAATTCTCAAATACCTGTTGACAGGTACTTGAAAATAGTCCAGTTTCCAGAATACAAATTATCTACATGTTGTTCACCCTTTTGTATATCTCACAAGTGGGAAAATACTGGTACTACCAGAAGCTACAGTTTTATGGATTCAGGAAGTTTGCAGTATTGAACTCTCTAACCAGAACTGAAGATGTGGTGCAAGTCTGTCATATTATCATGAATAATGGTGTTATTTTCAGATTTACCCATTGTTGAAAAACAAAGATTTTGTTTCCTGAATAGTTAAATATAATTCCTCTTAATTGAGTTAATCCAGGGATGGCTCAATTTCACTTTAATTTAAATCATCTGCATTTGGTAAACAATTCTCAGCTTACATTTTCAGGGCATTTGACTTAAAATGCAGATCATTGCAGATTGTACAATCATCCCCTTTTGATGCTCTTTATTGAAGATCAGGTCGATTGTTTTGATGTATTTGTAAAGCTATAACATTTAGAGCACACGTTTTGTAGCACAGTCTCCAGAAAGTGGCCTTAAGCCCTCACTGAGGAGAAGATACAGTAGTACTTTGGCTGTTATTTAATGCGTATAATTTCTTCTTATTTTTTCTTATAGCTAAACCTTGCACCATCCTCAGATGAGGAGAAGCCAGACTCATTGCAGGAAGCACAAAGCCCTGCTCCACAAGAAGACTTACCAGCTAGTGAATCTGTTTCTGAAGTAGTCCCAAGTCCTGTTCCTCCTCTAGCTCCTTCTCCAGGTCAAGAATCTGCCCCACCCACAAACAGAGGAGCTGAGGGCAGGTCTGTCATTGATCCTTACACTTCTTTCATGGACACCATTTATACCTCTTTCCTTCAAGTTAGTGCTAAAGAGCAGGAAGAAGGGGGCCAACTGGGGCCCTCTGACCCTTCTTCACCCTTCTGTGCCTTACCGCCGGTTTCCTTCCATTTGGAGCACCATACCCCCACTCTGCCCCAGGCAAGTGCCCCCGTCTCCCTCAGCCCACGCCGAGCCTGCTCCCTCCGTAACCCAGACTTATCGCGACTCAGCTTGGAAGCAGCAGCTCATTCCCCAGCCCAGGGAACGCCCAAACCAACAGAGGATGGGCCTACGTCACCTTTACAAAGGAAACGGGTTGTAGAGGGACATACCCATCTAGAACCTCCTTTGCCAGCCATATACTTGGAGGAGGCTAAGACAGACTGTACTGGTCCCGCTGCAGCTGTTTGTCCCTTTGTGGAGTCGGGGGTGGATAGGCAGGGGCATCTTCCCCATTCAGGATACCTCAGTCCAAGGGATGGATGCAGTGGGAGGCCCAGCGAGGACACAACTGAGACACTGCTGCACAGTGGACAGTTAATGGTAAGAAAGTTGACATCACATCCTGGTGAAACACCAGAATTGACGCTGGGTCCAGATCACAGACTCTAAACAATGAAGGCTGGAGCACCCTGAGATCAGTTTATGTTGGTGTTATGTAACTCCCTTTTTGACTTCCCCAGGATCAAGCTGGGGGAGGTGGAGGAGCCAGAAGAGGAAGGAAAAGAAAACAAACGTGAGTTGACCTCTCAACAGTTTGTTTCTCAGACAAAACCTGGACAACTGGGAAAGGGCATTCACCCAAGTCACTCAAATAAAGTTTAACTCTGCCGATGCTCAACAACATTTGACCTCTGAGCATTTTGGGTGAAATAGCATTGAGTAACGATGCGTTTCTTACTTTGTTAGACTACAGAATGTGTTGGAGGACTTCAGAGACATGGATGCTACAGCACTAGAGGAAACCAAGGCTACAGTAAGACCCATCTCCCCTTTCTTTGAATCACCGTTCTGTTTGATTTATCAATAACAATAATTTTGAACGTTTTGTTTCAAATTCCTTCCTTACTTCCAGTCTCACTTAAATATTTGACTTGTTTTAACAAAGGTTTTTCACCATGCTGGCAGCCGATCATATGACCTTTTATATCCCTCGTTGACTTGCATATGTTGCTCTGTCTTTTTATCATATCTTGGTAAAATACACACTAGTCTTTCATTTTACATTGAAATTGTTGTAAAGTTAGCAAATAGAGCTTTGTGATTCCAATTAAGTACTCAGTCATTAGTCGTTAATTGCTGAGTGGGCTTTAATATGCAGAAATTGGAAGAAGATACTGCACAGTTGCCATGGTTTCCATTGCACTAAATCATGAAAGAGGAGACACAGAAACCTCCATTCGTCAAAATTCATTGACTGAAAAAGTTTTTAAAGATCTTTATTTTCTAAACTCTTTTTGAAAACACATCAGAAAAAAGTTAAATGTCTTTGTCCATGCCGGGATATGTGAATGATTGTGCGCCTCTGAAAGGCTCTCTCTTTTCCTGGTTACAGACATCACTTCTGAAGCCTGAGAGGTCAGCGCGTGGTAGGCGGCGGCGAGGAACCCGTTCTCAGAGGCAGTGATTGGTGGAGGAGCCGTTAGTCAGTGAAAGGCCTCTCCACCCCCCCCCCCCATCTGACCATCCTCATCACTACTGTTTAGACCTTTAGAAGAAAATCAACTGCACTAATAGGATGCTGTTGTCATGTCAACCATTGCTATGGCAACCACTATGGAAAAAAAACATAGGAAAAAGATAGTTGGATGAATTTATTTTTTAAAAAAGTGGGGGGAAAAATGAAGACATTTTTGTGGATACTTTTTCTCTAGCTTTTTCTCTTAGGTCACAAAATAATGTCAGGATGTTGTGATCAGAGATCTTTGAATTAGGTTTGTGTTAGAATGATATCAGTGAAAGACAAGAATAACAAATGAGTACTGTTTTCCTCTCATCAATGTGTTACTGTGAGTCAGGACAAAGCCCGTGTACTTGAACGATGCTCTCTTTTGAAAGTGTGTCTTAACGTGTTAACGAGTGTGTTCTTTTGTGTGTTTGGGTGTGTGTTGGACAACAGTGCTGTTGCTGAGCCCCTACTGTATGACTGAGTGTCAAATTGATTTTTTGTTTCATAAAAGAAGAACCGGGTGTCTTCTCTGTTATACATTGGAGACAGTTGTTGTATTGTAGAGACATTTGTAAGGTTTTCAGAAAGTGCTGAAAGAGAGTATGAGGATATGACTTTTCTTTCCGTTGAAGTGTGAAATGACCTAAAATTTTTACCAGCTAAGGAAATTATGTGGTTTATACAATCAGGTTTCTTTGGCAGTTTACGTCAATGACTTATCACACAGGGAAAAAAAAGATTTTTTCATTGGATATGAGTCATCATGTCTGGTTTTATTTATCCTCAGAAAAACAAACTTGAAGTCCTTATGTACAACCCTTTTACAAATTTGTAAAATCGGGTTATCAGTGACTGACTGCATTTGGGTTTATGACATTTGCGAGATTGGCAACAAATTTTTAAACGTCTCATGAATTGTTGGGCTCCATTTGTCTTAATTTAGCTACCAATTTACATTTCACATTCTGTGCAATTAGTCTCTGTGAAGCATCATTTGTAGCTACGTGTGGCAGAAACTAGTAAGAATCATGTCCACCCAAGATCCATTAAATGAAATTTAGGAACCAGATTTAATTTGAACATCAAGAACCTCAAGTTTACAAGGAGTACTGTATGTCCTGTTGATTTGTGGAATGGATGGTGGGGATACTTGTACACAGAGAGTGATGATGTCTTATTTGGATCTGTTGAGTCTGTACGTTACTGTGGATCTGGAGTGATATCCTCCCTCTGTCTCCCCATATCACTGTGTGAGCAATTCTCCACTCACTGCCCTGCCCCAGGAGTACTGGCATCTCTAGCTGTATTTGAAATAAAAACAAATAATGAAAACTGAAAAAGAAAGCAGATTATGCAATTTCTACACTTGGAAATGTGTACATATGTACAGTTATTGTGTTTGATTTTATATTGTCGGAGAGAGAAGAGAGAAGCAATTGTGAATTTTTCTTGGAATTGTAATTATTTTTCTCATTCTACCCCTTTGCTTTCTATACTTATGTTCGAAAAGACAATTAAATTGTGGACTGTAGCTTTCTTTTTTATATGGGAGTCATTTTTTATTTAATATTAAACTATTTACATGAAATGCACCTTGTGTTGATTTCCTGCACTTCTGAATAGTTAAAGCGTATGAATAGTTTTTGTTTTTAAGTTATGTTTATATTATAACTAAATAATATATATTGATAATGTCAGTATTTTCCATAGGTGTATATTATACACCTACATTTCTGAGCATTCTTTCTCCAAACGTTTTCTTCAAACAACACTGCTGCATCATCCTTACTTGTCAAATAATTTAACACAGTTTCAAAGCATCGCAGACACTTTCTATCATTAACCTCCACTCCCTTCCCATAACATCCTCGCATGGCTTCCAATAGATTCAGCCAGAAGGGGGTCTGAATGTGAGCGTGATGCATTGATTCGTGGCTGCCTCACTTCCATTGTGACGTTCCACTTTGGGGCTGTGAGGATGCTGATGCTGTGGGTACCACTTTAAGGAAACGGATGCAGACCACGCCCTTCCGCTGACAGCCAATAGAGGGTGCTGTTGCGAGCAAAGCAGGCCTATAAGCAGCAGCTTTACCTCACTGCCCTTCCAGCAGCATCTCACCTTCAACCGGCCACACGCACATCCGCCGACGCCCCTGAACGAGAAAAAACGACCACAAGAGAGGCAGACGGCGTCTTACAAAACCTTACAGGGGGGGAAATTATCGACATCAGTACCGAAGGCGTTAATTATGTAGGATTTCGTTTTGCGATTTGACATCATTTACCCCGTCCGCCTCACTGCGACACAGAAAAAAACCCCTCAGGCTGCGCATAAGATTAATTGTCAGGTTAAAACCGTCCGATCTCTGCACTGTCCTCAGAGTCCTCCCCACGAAAAAGGGCGAACTCTCTGCGCATCCTTCTCCGCTTACTCTGAGTCGCGTCAGGCCCCGAGCAGCTTGCGATCGTCTCCAGCCTCAGCAGCATCTTCCCTCTCAGCAGACAGCAGCAGCATCCCTCCTCAATCTGCGCAATGGCCGACGTACCAGCGGAGTGCAACATAAAAGTGTTGTGTCGGTTTCGTCCTCTGAACCAGTCGGAGATTTTACGTGGGGACCAGTTTCTTCCCAAATTCCAAGGAGACGACACCGTCTCTGTTGGGGTGAGTCAAACGAGCTGCTTTGTTGTGCCACACAGGCCCTTCATCAATAAATCATCAGCTCAGCCTTTTTCAGATTGGGATGTAGATTGGCAGGACGACATGAAGTAGCACAGGGAAATGTATATACGACGTCCCTGTTATCCCGTCTCATCATGGACAATAGAACACAAAAGCAAAGTGAATGACGGCTGTTTTGCGTAAATGCGCACAGTGGCCTCCTCCATCAGCTGACTAAAGTCTGCCCTGGGTAGATGAGGGTTTGGGAAAAGCTCATTATTAGACTAGAAATAAAACGTCTGTTAGGAAACTTTTTTGTTCCATTCATTTTTACACAGGGAAGTGTTTTGGATATCCCTACACAAGCAATTATCTATAACACATAAATATGTGTTCAAATGAAAGGAAAGAGCTTTATTCATTAATCCACTTGTTAGCCATGCTCAGATTAGTATTAATGCTTCCAAGAGGATAGTGTCCTAATGCAAGATCCTAGAGTTATTGAGGTCTTGTTTAAAGTGAGTTTATTAGCAGCAGACACTCTGCTGCTGCAGAGGTGAAGTCTGGTGTAGCTGTTGTGTTTTGGAGACGGATGGAGGCTGTGAAATTAGGGTGGAACCCCATCTGGTTTTTCATGAGGGGGATGGTGGTCTTATTGACTTTTAAAAAATGGATTTAAGCTAATGCACAGATTTTAGATTCTTCTTTCCAATAAAGTTAATTTGTGGGTTAACAGCTATGGTGTTTTTTTTAAATCATATTAAAAATTAAAATAACACAGCTTTGTTTTGTTTTGTTTTTTTAAATCCAACACTGAAAATATCACAGTGCTACTGCAATCCAATCATCTCTATGGACATTTTATAACATAAATGAGCCTCTCTAAAGAGTAGTCAGGAAAGGTCAGGGTTTTTTTCTTGGGTCCACTGTCTAGTGTGTGCTTTATTGTATGTGGAAATTGTATTCAGGGACCAATAACAACTGAAGCATCTTCAACGAAAAAGTAAACAGTTAAAGATATATAATATTTCAACATTACGTAAGAAAAATTTGCGATAAATTCAGACTTCCCTATTTCCTTTTAATCAACTTTACCAGATCCACATCCCATCAGCACAAATGAGGCCAAATTTAATTCCTTAGGCCAATGGATCAGCCTCTGTAGCCCACACATGAGCCTGTAAAAATGAAAACAGTTCTGTTAGGTTTTAATGATCCTATACATATATATTGCTATCAACTTTTAATATTTTACCATGTCCAACGTATCTCAAGATAGTACATGATTAAAGAAAAACAAGAAAACACAGTGCCTACAGATTATCTACAGGGGGAACGTCTGTTTAGATTCTCCTTTGACTGTTCAATGTAGTAATGATGCTGAAATCATCTCCGGTAATAATGCAAAAACCTCTGACCTTCTTATCCTGGTGTGGTGGTAGACAGTGCATTCAGAAACTGATCCTCTAATTGCCTAAAGAGGGGGTCGATAATCATTCAGTGAGCTCAGTGTTATGCCCTGACCTGCTTTCCTTTATCTCCGGCTCCACTAGTCTGCATTTCCGTCTTTAAACATTACAGAATTTCGGTTAAGGCTATTTGCTTTTCATCCTGATCTTTTCTGCATTTACCCATCACCTTTTTAGAGTCTTTGAGCTCCTTTTCATGTTCCTAAATTCTCACTCCGTCATTCTGGGATAGATTGTCTCTCTTTGGTAAATCACTCTGACATGGGGGCAGTCTGCAGATGAGTCAATTTGCTAATGACATTTAATACAGCTTGTGTACTGGCTGCTGACATTACTGGGGTGCATTGTGTCCTCTGTATCAGATGGGACTGTGACATTGAGGGATTGGTTTAATGATGCTTGCGGTATATGGGCTGCGTCACGCAGTACGCTCAGCATTCCATATAGTATTTAACATTGTTATGGGAGAAACTGAGATTGTCAGGATGCCCATTCACAGGGCTGTGGTTTAATTCGGGATACCAAGATGATAGCTTTTGTCTGGAAACATAAAAAAAACATTCTGTCCAATGAATTGCTTTTGTTTGTTAAAAAATAGTAAAAAAGTAAGTCCTTTTCTAGCAAGTTCTATGTCCAGCTTTGGGGACTTTTGTACAGTTGTGTAAACCACCCCCAACACAATTGTTACCTCTGCTTTTATTTATTCCTAAACTATGATATGTAATACTTTTTTGTACCCCTAACATGAAAACCTACAATATATGTATCAAGCACTCTGGAAATGCATTCAAATGTGCAACCTACTGAGTTACAGTAGCTGTAATTTTAAGATTTTGTCAGGGGTGACAAGCTTCACCTAAAGGCACTGCACACAAATAGTTTTACGGCCCCTTACAGGATGGAGAGCCATTAATGAAAGACCTGGCTTTTATACGACTGTTCCCATGTTAGATATGAAGCTGGTGATGGAAAAGGGGCTTTTTAATAACCTTTACCAGCTGTCCGAGTTTTTCGGGTCCTCAGAGAGCTTTGGCCCTGACTGGCCGTGAGCACAAAACACACTCTCACTCTCTGCTGATGTCATCTTTTTTTCTTTTTTTTTTGTTGATGTGTACATTCTCTCAAGAAGATGAAAGCAGTGATTGAAAAAAAGCCAACTCTGCAGAATTTTCTGCTCTCATTGAAATTAACTCAAGTTTAGCACTTTTTCATTTTTTTAAATACATATACATCCATTACAAGTACTTCAGTAGAAAGTAGCTCTACCTTTTATTGTGAGCTTGATTACTTTTTTGCCCTGATGAAAAGAGGGCTTCCTGGTATTGGGTTTCGGTCATCAATAATCAGCTACTGTGAGGGTCATCAGGTCTTAACATATAACTAATAATAATAATTTCTCAAAGGTTACACAGATTACCATCTCTGGGGAAAGACATAATCTGTTTTTCAGTTTCCTTTAAAACCTAGACTGCTTTTTGTGTTCATTTTAAAAATGTAAAAGATTGTTGTAAATATGTCCCTAATTCCGTGTATGCCATATCATGCTCCCTTGTATGGCAGAATACAATAGCAACAACAAGCCTCACAAAAACAGTCTAAGAGCATCTCAACAGTCTGTCGTTTTTTTTTACTTGGTCTTCAAATTCCTCAAACTCTAAAATGATCTGACAATTGATATCTATCCAAAGAATACCATATTGACACAAAGCCCCACCAAAGGATCTTTTGCTGTCATTAAAAGACACAAGATGTTATTTCAAATGTTCTTTGCCCACATCCTGACTGGTCAGAGCTCTTTTTGTTGCATAAAGAGGATCTACTCAGTATTGCATGCATGGTCTTAAATTATGGCTGTTCAGTGGATTTTAAATTAGCATTAGGAACACTGTTTCATAAGTAATTGTTTCTCTCAGATGGCAAATGTAAAGTTTCTTGGGTTTTTTTATCTGCCCAGGGAAGGTCCTATGTGTTTGATCGCGTGTTTCCAACCAACACCACACAGGAGCAGGTTTACAACACCTGTGCCAAGCAAATTGTCAAAGGTACAGTCAAACAGATGAATACATACAATGACTTGTTCAACAGAATGTGCAGTTTAACTGTAAAGTGTTTGTTCTTACTTCATGACAGATGTGCTGTGTGGCTACAATGGCACTATCTTCGCATATGGACAAACCGCCTCCGGGAAGACTCACACCATGGAGGTACAGTATTCCAATGTTTATTTACATTTTCTTCTCTCTGAAACTTCTAGAAGTTTGTGCTTGCAGAGTGAACAAGTTCCTCTTTCTGACTGACAAAAGCTTTTTGCTTTTATTCAGACTATATGACCTATATTTAGTGCTGGCCTACAACAATTGCATTGCTTTAAATCACTGGACATTTCATGCGATTTTAAAAGCTTTATTGGATTACTGATTGTTATCCCTCAACTGGATAGCTCTGGCCATCGCAGCTTGATTTGAATGTATGTCTGTAAAATCCTTTTTCAGGGTAAGCTGCATGACCCTCACCAGATGGGTATAATTCCTCGCATCGCTGAGGATATCTTCAATCACATCTTTGCCATGGATGAAAACCTTGAATTCCACATCAAGGTATGATATGAGAGTTCCATGGGTTGATGCATTCATGTTTCAAATGGCACACTGTTGAGCTTCTACAGACTGATGACAGAAAAAATAGGTGTCTATGAATACAATGATATGACTTACTCTGTGTTTAAAAAATATATATATTTACATTTCTATTCATTAATTCATTGAATTATTGCTGCTCTCTCACAGGTTTCATACTTTGAAATCTACATGGACAAAATCCGTGATCTCCTGGATGGTTAGTTCCAAACCAACGTATACGTATCTGATATTTAATCTGTCACAATGTTATATAAACTACTGCCACACCTATATAGATACCGCACTTCTTAGACTTCATTATTTAAGACATTTTAATATAAATACACAAGAAAGAGTTTAAATATTCCTCTGTTTTTCTTAGTGACGAAAACCAACTTGTCGGTCCACGAGGATAAGAACAGGGTGCCATACGTAAAGGTTTGTGAAAAAAGTGCCTTTTACCGTATCTATCTTCTCTTATTTGATACAAATACAATCTTAATCTCCAATAAATCGGCGGTATTATCCGTGTCTCATATTTTTGTCTACTCTCCTGTTATCTCCTCAGGGATGTACTGAGCGCTTTGTCTCCAGCCCGGATGAAGTTATGGATGTGATCGATGAGGGAAAAAATAACCGCCATGTTGCTGTGACCAGTGAGTTTTATTTTCGAGAGCTTGTTCTGCATCACATGCACACAGAATACAAGAATATCACCTCTGTGTCTATATCTATTCCATATTTCTGTCCATACTACACTCACTAGAGTACATACACCGCGGCCTCTTCTATTTTCTCAAAATTAAACAGTTTAAGCCCACTGGCGGCTTCTCTTTTACCTCAGAGCACAGGCAACAGTTTCTCACTGCTTCCAGCTTTACTACCCACGATTTGTTACTCATGCATGAAATGACAGCTGAGTTCATGTAGCTTATTATTGTGTCTCGTTATGTAATCGGATCTCTGCCATCATTTTGAAGCTCCAGTCTCAAAAAGGAAGAAGGATTTGAAAATGGGACAGGGTTAAAATGGAGGGGGAGGGAATATTAGGCCAGAAAAACATTTTTTGCCAAATGCGTCATTTCAATGGAATCCTTTTTATGGCACGGACACATAACAAGTCTTCCTCAGTGCTTAGTCCATACATCCATGTGACACAGTTCCGATTTCAGTAATCTTTGCTATTTTTGGTAAAAGAGAGCTGCATGGTTGGTTGGTCTTTCCTGTTCCTTTGGCATGGCCTGGTTATGTTTTCTTCCCAATGCTAGTTTAGTGAATTATGGTACCAATCATACAGATCGAGGTGATCATTGATGTGTAGGATTAGGTTGAGTTTTATATTTGAGGAAAGATTTTTTTTAAATAATCTAATTTTAGAAGTATTCTATTAACAAAGGATACAGCATGTTTGTGTGTGTGTGTGTGTGTGTGTGTGTGTGTGTGTATGTGTTTCTATGAGCCGTGTGCTGACTCACTGTGATGAAATAAAAAGAAGAGTGATACAAAAGGAGTGAGATCAGATTAGCTTTGGGACTTTGTGTCACTGATGTAAATCTAAACCTGCACAGATTTTCTTTTTTTCCCGATGTGACTCATATAATTAATCACTTTTTGGGTGTTTGTTGTCCCAGCAGACTTGGTTTTGTATCTATTTTGTGTTTTTTACTTTGAAGTTATTTATTTTGGTTTTCCATCATTTTTGGAGAGATAGAGACTAATCTGTTCTCTATTTTATTACACCAGCAAAATAGATACCGGTAATAGATTTCACCAATTTTCATGTTAAAGTGAAAAAACAATTAAAAATTAGTAGAAATGACTGCAAACGAATAATGCATGCTTTTGTTTTTATTGTTGAGATGTTTTACATAAAGATGTCAAAACTTAAATTAACTAACATTTGAACAGAGCTGATAGTATAAGGTATTCACGCATCTGTGTTCAGCCCCTGACCGAGTCTTCAAAACAGCATAGGCAAATCAAATAGAAACTTACGGATTTCTTAATGATCATTCAATCAATATGGGTTTTTGCTCATTAGGTTTAGTTTTTAACTGAATGAGAAATCAATATTCTGCAGACTTTAACACTCCCTCATTGTTAGTGTTTTATTGGCCATGAGACGGGCTGTAAAAATCAGAGCTCAGACTGTCTGAGGCAGAACACTGTAAAATAAAAATTATATTTCAAATCATCTGTCTTCTACACTGAGACGCATACTGGACAGGCCTATAAAACGCTGTGTGACCCATCTTGTGCTCTGGATAACATTGCATAATGCCTCTGTGCTTGCAAAACAGATTGAAATAGATTAATTTACCCCTTTAATCTACGTAAAACTGTGTGGACTTGGAAATAAATGGACTGGAAAGTACATATTACCTGGTGGTAAAGCAAGAAAGTAGAAAGATTGTAATTTTTGAAAGAGGAGGGTTCAGAAATGATGGAGGGTAATCTACGAGAAACAAATGAAAAATAAATACAGTATTCTCTTTTACCGAGAAGATTTTATGACGATTTATGATGATTTTTCCGTGAAAGTTGATGGTAAATGAGTAAACCAGATCTGCTGAGAGCTGCGTTCCTGAGCAGCACAGCATTGTCTGCTTCCAGTCGATGCCTGCTGACTCACTGTGCTGCAGCACTGTGCTGATAGCGGTGTAATGGAGTTCCACTCTGCAGACACTGAGCTGATGCCCTCAGATATCAACTGCAGAGAAACCTGAACTTTCTGTCTGAGAGCAGGTCCCATTAACAGAGTGATTAAACCAGCCGCTGTCCATTACCTATGCTGTGAAATGGTTACATCATCCTGCTGCAGTATCAGCCGGCATGGCTGACAAAAAAATGAGGAACATTTTAAATCCCCCCCTAAAATAGCACTGCACAAGAATCCATTGGCTTCTGTATTATTTAGTGTGAGCATTTTTACATTTTTTTTTGTAGAGACTATAAATCACAGACTGTTTGAAAAATTGCATTTAATAAAACAAAGTTCATTACTTTGTTTTGGGTGGGTCATAAAACCATAAAACTAGTGGCGTGCCCTTAAAATGACATAAATCTCTGAAGTGGGGATCATTTCTTATGCATGAATTGATGGCAGAAATCATGCTTTTGTGTTACTTACAAGGTTGCAGACTGGCTTAATTTTACGATTATAACATTACAATTGATTTATTTATGAAGCTGCTGGTTTGTTTTTGGCCTGATGTTTTTAGAGTTTCTTAAGATTATTGAAACATATTAATGGTAAAACGATCTTAGTTGAAAAAAACATCATTTTTATGGTGATATTGTTTCTTTCTGTATCAGCTCTCTGAGTGTTCTTTGCCCGTCTCTGCAGACATGAATGAGCACAGCTCTCGCAGCCACAGCATCTTCCTGATCAACATCAAACAGGAACACGTGGAGACTGAGCAGAAGCTGTGTGGAAAACTCTACCTGGTGGATCTGGCTGGGAGTGAGAAGGTAGGAAACACACTGAGACCTGAGAGAGAGATCTCAAATATCAACCATAACAACTCAGCTGCTTCATGCAATGACTCACACATAATTTGTGAAATAATTTTTTTCTAATTATGTAGTTTAAACATTTTCTTTGGCATTTCATGCTGTATTTATGAATTTTTCCATCATGCATATTATCTGTCACCTCTTTGTTTTTTTAATCCAGGTCAGTAAGACCGGAGCTGCAGGTTCTGTCCTGGATGAGGCCAAAAACATCAACAAGTCTCTGTCAGCTCTTGGAAATGTCATTTCTGCCTTGGCTGAAGGCACAGTAAGTAGCAAAAAAGAAAAATAAAGACGTGAAAGTTTGTTCCTCTGTAGCTGATTTGATTTGTCAAATAAAATAGAGTTCAAGACATCCATGTCTCCAGCGAGAACTGTCCCCCTCTGTGTTCATAAAAACAAATAACCTTCCTTTACCACTTCCAGGATTTCTCACACTACTTCTCTGTCTGATTACTTGGGGAGAACATGCACCCTTCTTTCCTTTATGCCAGCCAAACAGATTTGTCCATTGCATCCCAGAACAATCAGTCAATTGTTGGATTAGCTGGCTGGTGTATAATCAATCTGCCTTGTCCGAGTACAGCTCTAGGCTTTGTTAGCTATGATATTTAGAAAAACAATGTATAAATCGATCAATGTTTAGAAAAAGTCCAGCATTTTTTTAATGTTTTGTTGACTTTAACTGTGTATATATATTTTGTGACCTCTTTTTCCCCTTATTTCACTTGTTTTAATCACCTTTATTTCTTTCCTTGTAACCCCCCTTTCTCATCTCATTTATTACTACTTTGCTCATCACCGTCTTCTGTCTCTGCAGAAAACCCATGTTCCTTACCGTGACAGCAAAATGACCCGCATCCTGCAGGACTCACTTGGCGGGAACTGCCGCACCACCATGTTCATCTGCTGCTCTCCCTCCATCTACAACGAAGCTGAGACCAAATCAACTCTGATGTTTGGACAACGGTAGACATACCTTTGGACTGACATATCAACATAGAGCAAGAAAACAAACATGATACATTTATCTTAGCTAACTAACTCATACTAATTATAAGTTTTTTTTTTCACAAAATAAAAAAAGAACATGTTTATTACCTGATAGTGGAAAATGTAAATATGTACAAAATATGTACAACACTTTTGAGGTTCAAAAATTGAAAAAAGTGAAAAAAAAGGCTTAAAGGCAGTAGAGCCAAAGAATTCCCTTGTAAATTAGGCTTTTTTTTTTAAATCAAAATCCTAATTTGTTTATTAACACTCGTAATTTAATTCCAATCATCTGAATTGTTAATCTCGAATGTTATCAAACTTAGTCACAGTTACTAAAAATGACCTCACATTTCCCCCCTCTAACTATCTGTTTTGCTGCAACAGTGCCAAGACCATCAGAAACACTGCTTCCATCAACCTGGAGCTGACAGCAGAGCAGTGGAAGAAGAAGTACGAGAAAGAAAAGGAGAAGAACAAGACCATGAAAGACACCATTCAGAGGCTGGAAGCCGAGCTCAACCGCTGGAGAAATGGTAAGATTCTGTAATTTCTCCTATTTTCCGGCATATTTGGCTTTGGAGGTAAAACTACAACATTCCCATACATTAATTAACCGTTTTTTAATTCCCTTCTCATTTGTCCCTTTAGGAGAGAACGTGCCTGAGACAGAGCGGACCACGCCTGACACGGTGAACCGTTTCGAGCCTGTGGAAGAGCGCCCCATTTTGGACAATGACACCTCCTCCATTGTGGTTCGCATTTCTGAGGAGGAGCGAAAGAAGTACGAGGAGGAGATCCGCAAGCTGTACAAGCAGCTGGATGACAAGGTTAAAACACACAAGCAAAACTAAAAAAAGACTTCACTTTTCAGTTTGCTTTGCTGGTTTTTCTGTAGTTTAGTGCTCTTTATCACGCTTAGGGATCGAAAAAGTAATTCTCTTTAATAAGTTAGACGTTTACGATACCATCTTGGTGTACAGGATGATGAGATCAACCTGCAGTGCCAGCTGGTGGAGAAACTGAAGCAGCAGATGCTGGATCAGGACGAGGTGAGAAAACGCACCAGATTCACGCCGCATGCACATTGTGTCCTGAGACCATGCTAATTCTGAATTCAGTCGAGTATTTTAACAGCTTGTTACCTAATAGTGAGTGGGTGTCCACTGCTGTTTTCATTTCTCAGCCGGGTTCCTTCTCTTGTCTTCTTGCAGCTCCTGGCCTCCTCCAGGGGTGATGGGGACAAAGTCCAGGCCGAGCTTGGCAGGCTGCAAGTGGAGAGCGATTGTGCCAAGGCTGAGGTGAAGGAGGTCCTTCAGGCTCTGGAGGAACTGGCCATCAACTATGACCAGAAGAGCCAGGAGGTGGAGGAGAAGGGCCTGCAGAACCAGCTGCTGGCTGATCAACTGGCTCAGAAAATGGTACATTTGTAGAATAATGTGATAAGCAGACGGGGACAACTGAAAGGGAGATAGAAGTCAAAGACAGGAGGTGAAGCAGAGGGACGCTCAGGCCAGCTTGTGGCACCATGGAGACAAACACCTCTTTTAGCAGTGCTTTGTAGCAGCAGTCCAAAGAAAACATGCAATGAAATTTAGATTGGGTTCTGTATGTGTATCTTACATTCTTCAGAATCATGCTCACTTTCAGGAAAACACAATTTCATTTAGTCTTTTTCTGCAGATCTAGAGATTATTCAGCCAATAAGATCAGCATTCATGCTGGGACCTAAACTCATTTTCTCTCTATGTCCTTTCTCCCTGTTATACAGGCGAGTCTGATGGAGCTGGAGGCGGAGCTCTCTCGTATGCAGGAAGTGAGCGGTCAGCAGAGGAAACGCATTGCTGACGTCCTCAATGGGCTCATGAGGGACCTCAGCGAGTTCAGCACCATTGTGGGCAACGGGGAGATAAAGCTGGTGAGCAGGATCATGGGAGGGGATGACGTTTAATTTAGAGAACACACAGAAAGATGAAACACAACAGACAGTGTGTGCACTGAGTGGCTGTCATGTGTTCTACTAAGACAAAAAGATCTGTTTTATTTACTGTAGCCGGTGGAGATAAGCGGTGCCATTGAGGAGGAGTTCACTGTGGCTCGCCTCTACATCAGCAAGATTAAGTCGGAGGTGAAGAGCATGGTGAAGCGTTGCCGTCAGCTGGAGAACATGCAGCTGGAGTGCCACCGCAAGATGGAGGAGACAGGAAGGGAGCTCTCCTCCTGCCAGCTCCTCATCTCTCAGGTAAGAGATGTGGGGAGAGAGAAGAGAGGGAGCATGTACTGGCAAAAAACACTAAATGATCAGCAGTTAAAACAGACAGAACCAGGGCGAAGGAATAAACCGGAAGCATGTACAAAGCAGAAATGGAGAAGTTTCTCAGTTTTGATTGGTCGTGGTTGGGTGTTTTATCCTCGGCCGTGTTTGTGCCTGTACAGCATGAGGCCAAGATCCGCTCTCTGACGGAGTACATGCAGAGCGTGGAGCAGAAGAAGAGGCAGCTGGAGGAGAGTCACGACTCCCTGAGCGAAGAGCTGGCCAAACTGCAGGACCAGGGTAATACAAACACCACACGTATACACGACAAAACACAGTCTGTGATAGAACAATCTGGGGGAAAAGCATTTCTTCAAATGGCCCTTCCACAACTTAATACCATCCTTCTTATAATTGTACCAGATAATTCTCTGCTTGAGGAGAAGGACATGGAGAAGGGGGAGACTGAGGACGGAAATGGGAAGGTGAGAAAAATCCGCCCTTTTAATCTGTTCGGCTCTCTGTATTGTGCTTGTTGCTGAAATCTAACTAATTTCTACCAGTTCATCTAATGTATTTCTGTTTGTTTTTCCGTTGTATCTTCTGTTAATTCAAGATGATCTCAAACTGTGTGCTTTTGTACTCTTTTTATTACATAAGTGTTTGAAAAAAAATTGTAAACATTAGTGGGGTTTTTTAACTTTCAGAAAGCTATCCGTCAGCAGGGGGAGTCTCACCGAGGCCTCCATCACAAGCAGCTGGCCCGCCTGCGGGATGAGATCAATGAGAAGCAGAGGATCATCGACGAACTTACCGAGTTTGTGATTTTTTTTTTAATGTGATCATTCGTAATTATTGATACGATAATATTTTTGCAAACAATTGGTCCAGCCTGAAAGTTAATTCTGTCTTTACAATGAAAAAAGTCGCAGGTTTGTCTCTTCTTCCTTTTTTTATTTTCCCTGAATCGTGTGTGTCGATGCTTCACCCCCCTCAGTCGCAACTCCAAGCTGGAGCTGGAGTTGGCTCAGGTGCGGGCTGACTTTGAGCGCCTGAAGAGTCAGGACAGCACCAAGAGTGAGCGTCTGGAGGAGCTCTCGTAAGTGTTGAGGACCATTTTACTCAAACTAGACCATGAGATAGAGATACTCAAACAACATCTTTAATATGGAGTGAAAATGACGGTTAGTTGGATCTTTTGTTTATCATAAACTAACTGCTTTGATCAGAGTAACATGATAACTTTCTTCAAGACCATACGTTTGAGGAAAGCTGCTAGACTTGACTCTGTCCAGCAGAGGGCACAAAAAGCCCAACATACACATCCAAACATTGGGATGTTTCTGTGTTTATTTAGATTCCTGCATGAGCGCCATGAGCAGACCAAACAGGACTTGAAGGGTCTGGAGGAGACTGTCGTGAGTAGAACACACCCTGCTTTCCTCTTGATTGCACTTTAGATCATCAAAGGTTGTCCTCATACCCTCATGTCATCTGTGTGTGCTCCAGGCCCGCGAACTCCAGACCCTCCACAACCTGCGCAAGCTGTTCGTTCAAGACCTCACGTCGCGGGTTAAAAAAGTAAGGAGTCATTAATCATTGGGAAAATGTAACCTCACTATGCCCTAATCCTCTTGTTTTTTTTTACATTAACCATGAAACAAAATCTGATTTTTGTTCAACTAGACAACTATGAAACAAAGATGTCTAACAAGAAGGTAACACGCTCTTTTAACTCTGTCTGCAGAGTTCCGAAATGGAACCTGATGATAGCGGGGGGTCTTGCACCCAGAAGCAGAAGATTTCCTTTCTTGAGAATAACTTGGACCAACTTACAAAAGTTCACAAACAGGTAAGAAACACACAGAAGTGAGACCAGCCATAACTACAGGTAGACATGATCAGCTGAGTCAAATATCCATCCAGCATCCATTCTCTGTGCCGCTTACTCCAAGTACGGTTGCAGGGGGGCTGCTCTCATTGTGTGAGAGATGGGGGACACCCTGGACAGGGTGCCAGTCCATCCCAGGGACTAATGACACATACACCCATGTTCTAATATCTAATACGTCTAATATCTAATAACTTAAATCTGATGTTTTCAGCACAAAGGACGACAGTTCTTTTGAAAAAAGAGGTTGGAGTTGTTGGCTTAGTGAATTTTTAAAAGTTATTATCAAAGATAAACACAATGTGCCTGCATGTGTACCTTCTTGTTTATTTTTCTTTTGTTCGTCCAAGCTGGTTCGTGACAATGCAGATCTGCGTTGTGAGCTTCCAAAGCTGGAGAAACGTCTTCGGTCTACTGCTGAGAGAGTTAAGGCCCTGGAGACTGCACTGAGAGATGCCAAAGAAGGCGCCATGATGGACCGCCGCCGCTACCAGCAGGAGGTTGACCGCATCAAAGATGCCATGAGGGCCAAGAGTGCTTCAAGGCGCCCCCATGCAGCTCAGATTGGTATTGTGATGGATTCACTCGTCGACACGTTAGATTATCATTTTTGGACAAAAGTAGAATGTCTGAAAGGGACTTTTTCTTTTTTTTTAAACTGTTGATACCTAAGAAGTACCCTAACCTCTCATCATCCTGACAGCTAAACCCGTGAGACCAAAGCAGCTGCCTGTCTGCTCTCCAACAAACCCGTTCTACGCCTACATCCGTGCCACCGAGCAAGGCAACGCCTTCAGCAACGCCCTCTTTCGGAGTAACGCAACACAACAGAGCAGCCCCAGCGTCAACTGCAACCCCAACTCTGTTCAGAGCAACACGTGAGTTCCAGTCCTTTCAACTCTCCCCCATCAAATCAGCTTTTTACCGTCTTATAATGGAAGATCATGTTGTATGTTGAGATAAAATAAACTTTTTGGGTTCTTTTTATGGAAATTAGAAGGATTTGAAGTTAAAACTGGAGGGCCTGATGTAAATATATTGTTAGTCATCTTTTCAACAGTTGTCTTTCGTCCGTGGCGTTTTGCAGAGTTTCCACAGCACTGGGCTACAGAGCAGGAAGATATAACGGAGACATATTAGAGTCCTACCCACTCAACATTGACAACGGTAAGTGGAAATATCCAAAAGTGTTGTTCTGAAAAATAATCTCCCTTACAATTTAGCTTGAGTATAAAAGTGCTGCGTTATCTCCAACAGGCAACAGCATCAGCGAAACCAGAGACATAAACGATAACAGGTGAGGATGTCGGCTCCCGCTCATATTGAAAACTGAAAAACCAGATTTGATCTAAACGGTGATAGAAATTCTCAGTTATGTTCAAACCTGACTTTGTATTGAAACATTTCAAGTGAGATCAAATAGTAAAGGAACATCTGGTCATGATATTATCAGACTAACAGCTACCCTTCCTGACACTGTTATTTCTTTGAACGTCAGTAAAATGGAAAAATGGTAACTGTTTCATTAGTACTCATTAGTAAATATTGGCTTGGTTGTGTTGTACTGTGCTAACAGGAGTGATGCTCACTGTGGCAGTGAGGTGGATGACTCAAACAGACACTACATCATTCAGCAGGAGACCGCTGCAAGTTAATATGATGGTAAAAATCAACCCACACTGAATCCTGCACGCACACATTTTTTACTTTCACTACAATTTGATTGCAGTGAAAGTGTTTATTAAGAACACTGTCTGTGTCCGCTCATGTCCATCTGTAGAAATAACTTTCTTAACTGGAAACCACTGCCTCCCTTAAAGCTTTAAAATGAGTCCATAACCTGGTTAAATTTTTTTGTAAAGTGGGTGGCAATTAATGTTAATCCCATCATGTTTATCTAACTAAAAGGTTTTGTTTTTGTTTTTTGTCAGTGACCACTTCCTATGTTTTTTGTTTGCAGAAGACGACCAAAAACTGTACCTTTACAAGGACCCCCCCCCCTTCTATTTGCATGCAGCCCTTCTCCCTGTCTTTCACTGCATCACCACTGAAGATGACGATGAAGATTTGTAGCTCTCTAGTCTTCTAGTTAGATGAAACCCATCCTGCTCTTATACTGACCGGTCTTGTGCTCAGATTTGGGATTCAGTCCTTTCCAGTTCAGTCGGTACTAAAAAAAAGAGTTGAATCTTTTGTTCGTTTAAGTAGCTCATCTAAATGATCACATGGATCCAGCAGCCAGTGAGTGAGTCACCAGATATCATTGATCACCTCCCGAAGTGGCTGAGCTGAAAGGGAGCTGACCCCATTCCTGAACGCTTGGCACACATGTTGTATATAATAGTGCTGTATACTCCAGTAGAGGTTTTTGACCAGCAACTGTTTGTGTGAATGCACAGCTTCCTCCGTCCCATACACGTATTTATTTTTAAGGGCATCATGTGGGTGACATACTGTGAGCAGTCATGACCTTAATCTATGTCATAAATAAGAGTGTATAGTGTGTAACACCAGCTTGTAAGAGAAGCCCCACACTCTTCATGCATGTTGCTTAGCGGGTAGGCTTTCAAACCTGTGCATGTGTCATGATTCCGCCCTGGGCCTGGTATGCTGTGAGTGAAGTTTGAGGGACTTCAACAGATGCCAGAAAAAGCGAGAGATGGTTTCCCTTTATCATGATTCTTTCCTCAATGCTGCGCATTTTCATATTTAAAGTACTTTTGAAAGCAGTTCTTAGTAGATTAATAAACGCAGAAAAAACAAAGCAACATCTGGATTTCCTTTTAGTGCAATGAGATGTAATGAAAGTAAAGGAAACCCAACTCAGACTTTCAGTCAAGTCGAGGTAACACTTTGTCATTGTTTTAATGCTGTGATGTTGCAGCTTTATGATGCCGCTGTACATTCCTTGCATTGCGGACACCCCTTTTGAGTCTTTTTACTAAGCCTTAACTTGAACTGATATCTCACAATCAAATTATCATGCTGTCCTTTGCAAACATTTGTAATTACTACCTCTAGAGCAGCCTATTGTATACGCTTCTTACAGTATACACATATATCATCCTGTCAAATAAGAACTGATCTAAGAGTTTCTACAGCTGCAGCTTTACAGTACTAGAACCTGCTCAAATATTCAAATGCTCTATTCGGAGCTGTAGTTATCTTCTTCTGCAGTTTCATCTCTACATCTTTTCATTCTCCATCACATTACTGGAGCTTGACAAAAAAAAATGGGCTTGTTAAAATGTCACAGAGAGCCAGAGTAACAGAGGTCCTTAAACTTTAATCTTTTGCCACCAAATTTAAAGTGAAACATTTGTTTACTGGCAGGAGAAAATAATTGTTTTAAGGCTGTATGTTGGTGGTCCAGTGGTTTTGTTTCAGGTGATTCAGGAGTGCACCCAGCTGAACAGCCACCAGTCTGGGACACTGACAAAAGCTTGGAACTGATCTTCGAGTCATGCTGCTATTCCTCTGTGACAAATCCTGATCAGCCAATCAGGATAGAGAAAAGCGGCACGTCAGAGGAGGGCAGAATATGAAAGCTTTGTTTGCTCCTGAATCACTGAATCTTTGGAAAGTATGGACCTAAAACATGTAGTTTGTATTTTCGATCATGTTTTGCCTGCATGCTAAAGAGTGAAAACAAAGTTGCTGCTGAGTTTGTTTTTTATCTTAAGTATTTAAAATGGATTTGATCTAGCTCTTTAAAGCGATTCAACATCTCTGACAGTTTTAGACTTTTAATTCCCAAATTTCAAACTATAAAAAAGGTTTGAAATGGTATAAAAACCTTGGTTTGTCAACTGTCTTATCTGGACCTGTTCTCAGTGGAAATTAGCCCAGTGGGACCCCAGCTTGAAAGGTGTGAGACCCTCTTCATTGACATGACCCCTTAACATTTAACACATTTAAAACAGCGCCACTGGGCCTGATGCTCTAACTGGCATTAACAACATCTCAGGGCTTGACATTCACTCATTACACCCACGTGCCACCACCATTGTCTTCCTCCTAAACTATGTGATTGCTAATGAACAATCAGGTCAGTGTATTGTTTTAAGGCTAAGAAAAAGAATGGTATGACTTATGAAAATAACACAAAAGTTGTACATATATATACCATAACATCTTTATCCTAACATAAGACCTCTGAGCTGAAGAAACCCCTCAGCAGCACCTGGTCAGACCCTTCTGTACATGTGCAAACAGACCCTCTATTTGATGTCATATTTTGATTTCCAGAAATCTGAATTGGGGGGGAGTGTGTACTATCCTGTCACCTGCTGTATCACTGTCGGATTTTAACATATCTGAAATACATATGCTATATATTGTTAATCTTGTAAGTAAAATGGCGTGCCATGATACAGTAAGATGCACGCTAACTTTGTCCAGAGAAATGCTTCTTTTATTTATCTCTGTATGCTTACTCTGTAGCGTCTACTTGATTATGTGAAGAATCACCTTGCAGAATTTCTGTATATATAGGCTCATCGCTATGCTGTACTGTATGTGAACCTCTGTGTTGTAGTAAAAAGTTCAATAAACTTGTAAAAAGGAGTATCATTTGGAGTCAGACAGTTGTTTGAATGTGGCGGAGAAGAAAGTAACTTAAAGAAAGGACAGTGATGTTTAACAATGACCACCTCGCTGAAAGATGACAGTGTTCCTATTGAAGCATGGAAATCCAAAGATCTCACTTTGGCAGATTTCACTGAGAGAAAACATCTTTCAGTAAATGTTTTATAAGATAAAACAACTGCGAATCTCTAAAATAAATCAAATCATTGAAGAAAAAAGAAAGAAATGCCATGCATCCCAGCTCATAGCTGTTGTATAAAGACAGAGAATGACTGCTGGTGAGTGGATGACATCCTGTGTGTTGCTTTTACAACCTTTGGCCTAGGCAGGAAATTGACATTCAGATTTTATATGAATGAGACCTTTCAAACAAAGGATTATATAAGAATGAAAATAGAGGGTAAATCTGAGAACAGCGCAACCTAAACTCAGTTTCACATCAAAATTGTTGTAAATTTCTCAAAGATTAATATAATTTTAGATGTAAAAAGCCATGTTAGTTTATATGGGTCCTGATTTTCCTCGTGTACAAGAAACATTGACTGCACTAATCACCCTAATGCTGGACATCAATGTGGCTATCACCAACATTCCTTAAATTCTGCTGAAGTGATGGAAGCCCATTCTGCAAAGGAACTTCCTTTTTGTGCTTTTATAATAAGCTACTCTTCATCTTTCCCACGAGAAAGGAAGCAGTGATGTAAACAGCAGTGGCGTGTGAAGCATCTTCAGATCAGTGTGGGGGTGTGTTCGCTGCGTCCATGTCCCAGCGAATGTATAGCAAATCTCAAATTCAGATATAATTATGGGCTGGGAGTAAAAGGACATTTAATCATGAATCTATCAACAACTTTTATGCAAACTTGTTGGGAAGTACAGAGCTGGTTAGATGGGAGTAGTGTAAACATTTTGGAGAGGGTCAATCAGAGTTCAGACCTCACTCCATTAAAATGGTTTTGGACAGGAAATTTCTAATCTCAATCGTATGAAGATGCATATCCAAAAACCCTAAACAAGCTAATTCAAAGAACTATAAAGTGTGATTATGAAGGAAGCTTGAATGACAAAGAATAAACATTTCAGTTGATCATTATTTGATCATTGCTGGGCACCACAGCTTCATGTGACGATCCAAATAGAAACCCAAAATTGTGTTTGGTTGAGAATTTGACCACTTTATGCTCCTTATAAGGTCTAAACCCGAGGTGGTCATTCATGTTGTCAGAAAAAATAAAAAATCTGCGCAGTTTGCTTCCACTGACTCCGCAAAAACAATTGATCTGCTCTCTCTGCGCATCTGCGGGGCGCGTCCCCGCTGCTGTTATGGATTGATTGGGCACCAGTTATAGCAGCAGGACGCTGCTCTGCTGACCTGGACAACTGCAGTCTACGGGAGAACCCCTCCAAACCCTCCAGGTGGACGCACACACATGCGCCACGGCGGCGCGTCGCTGCGGTAACTCCACACGCGCAATCTGAACCAGGCGAGAGAACCGAGACGCAGAGAGCAACATCAGGTTTGTGATTACTCTCACTACGAAACGGTAGGAGTTGGGCTTTTTTGTTTTTTTATTAGGTTTTACTTCAGTAGCTTTCGATGCGTCAGTGGACGGTGGCCTCAAGCTGAGAACAGATTATTTATTATTTCCTGAGCCGCAAACCTCAACACACAGTTTTATCATTAATACCAGTTCGTCACAGCACTGTAACGTCAGCTATAATGCCCGCATCCAGGCTCTTGTAAAGGCCTTCTGATGTGTATTAAAGAAATGGAGATGCTGGTTCCTAGGCGTGTCTGTGGTTGAAATCACTGTGAAGTGGTCACTGCTGGCTGCATTTTTGCATTAGTTGCAATTTTCTGACTGGCCCTGGGATTGTTTTTCTAGAAATCATTGCTGAATTAATAAAACGTTAAAGGAATGATTCCTTTTTGGTTGTAACCATAAGTATAAGAGGGAGCAACAATCTTTCCTAAACGTAAGCCACTCACACTTGTAGCCTTGTGTCGTTGAATGTCAGTTGTAGATTAAATTTAGCCTCTTTGAAAAGTTAAACACCACCTCTCCCACCAGAGATCTGCGACTAAAGGAGAAAATTGTGAAAGCAGCAAGATTTTAGATCATGGTGTACAATTCATCACGTCAGCTGTTTGTTTGTTTGTTTTTTTGGTTTGTGTTGTGTTATCTATGATACACTGTAGTATAACAAGAAAAAAACCACAGCATCTAACATGGGACAAATTATTTTAAAAAATGTAGTGGTAACAATCATTGTAATTTGAATTTAAAAGAGTAAAGCGTCCAGTGAAGGTTTTATACAACCATGTATACAGCACATTATACCTTTTGAAAAGAGAGGGAGGAACATTTTGTTTTAAACACTTAGAAAAAGTGACAGGCAGTAAAGTGATGGTAATATTTCACCTTTATTTGTTTGAATAGATTTTTCAACAAACAAATGAAATAACTGGAGTAATATGTGCAAGATTAAAAAACAGAGCAAACAAGCAGCCCTTTCAGTGAAATTCCACGCTGGAGTTGTGACCTTCCTCCTGTGAGACCTTAGTGCTGTGGCTCCTGTAACCAGCTGTTACTGTCTGTCTGCTGCTGCTTTTCTGCTCTGGGTCTTCTTTGCTGTGTGGGCGAGGATATAAATAAGAGTCTGGAGGGCTTTTTGAGCGTGTGTGTTGTTTAACCAGCTGCCGGGTTAGGCTTGTTTGTCTCCTCTGAGTGCAGGTGTACTCGTGGTCTGCAGATGCATTTTTTCTGGCTTTTTTTCTCTCCCAGCTGCCACTTAACCACCCAGCTTCCAACCCAAGTGTGTTTGTCTCCTGTGTTTTTAGCCACGTGTGTGTGTGTGTGTGTGTTTTAGTTTGGATTTGTCAAAATACTTTCAGACAGAGCGCAAAAGCTTCAGGCACAAAAGATGTGGGAGACAAGACTGTCCTGAGCTACAGTTTGCGATTATAGATATAAAGAACTGATTATTTTCGGTTCAGAGAGATGACGTGAATTAAAGAAATATTCATTAAATCGGCCATAAAACTGAGTTTGGAAAGGGTTCCTCTTGAGTGCGAGCTGAACCCAGAAGGAGATAATGTACTGGAAACACTCGTTGCAGATTAAGATTTAGGACGTTTAAGCATCTAACTGATGTTCTGGTTGATTTGTTGTATTTATTTCACTTTGACTTAACCATTTCTATTGATTGGTGTAGTTGATGTTTTTACACTGGAGAGGAACCATAACACCAAATGATTATTTGCTCTCAGACAGACTGACATGATTTGTTGGGCAAAAATGTCCATTTTGACCACTAGATGCCAGTAATCATCCGCCTATGTGACTTTAACACCGTAAGGTCTCTACTCTAATCATCTGTAAGGCATACAGTACAACAATACAGAAGATGTCAATTTTATTTGCTGGTAGAGTATGTTTTAAGATGATAATGCCTATTAAAAACCATTTTGTAGTAATACAGGTATGTACTGTTTCATTGCATTGAATCTAATAACATTTTATCACACAAATTGAAAAAATAACCACTGTTAAGCATTTTTACCTTAGTCTTCTAAGGTGTTAAGAAAAAAAAAAAAAACAATGCATGTCCACTGTTTTATGCTCAGTCCTATGTCCTTTCATAGAGGTATCCAAAGCATAAGCAAATTGATAATATTTATCTTTTAATTATAGGTCTGATTTTTTTTTTTTTTAAATCTCCCACATAAAATAAAGGTTTATCTATCATAAAGGCCTTAGGAGCTAAGGAGCAATACCACTAATGGCCAGTAGAAGCTGCTTCTAAAAGATTCTCTGGGGTCATAACAAAACATAACTAATTAAATAACAGGAATCAGTTTTCTGTCTCTGTTCTCTCAGATTTTAATTGACACTTACTTGTCCAACCTTTGCATTAAAAATGCAAAAACAGACGATTCAGTTCATAATTACAGGTTTCAAAGTTAGGTTGCTTGAATACGCATGTATTTGTTTTTCTCACTCAGAAAAGAATAACTGTAAGTCTGTCTCTGTCTATAAGCTAATGAGCAGCTGTTTAATAGAATGCAGTGTATAGGTTGAGATCTTGGAGAAAAACTTGTCTTGATCCAAATAGGAAAGACACAGGTAGAGTTTCAAACCTGTTATTTATAATCCTTGATAACATCTGGTAAAACTGGAAGAGGTGTATTTCAAAGTCTCCTGTCGTTTGTTGGTGATTTGATCAAAAACTTCAGGTCTGATAGATCTTGACACTCAATGTCATGGTTACACATGAATCATATGGCTCTCAGCATTTTTCAGTCTTCGCTGAATGAGTCAAACGGAAAGGTCCTCAAAATTTTGCCAACAGGACGGAGCTGGTTCAGGCCCTGAATGTTAGTTTCTGATAACAGATAGCAACTTCAGAATATCATTTTGAATGTCAACCTCTTTTAACACTAATGTTATTTCTCAGTTTTAACCACTTTTTTTTTTTTTATCAATCTCCTTTTTTGTTGTTCTTCTATCCATCATTCACTGTATTTACTGTCTTGGCCTCTTGCTCTGCCACAGTGGATGTTTTGTTTGCACATGTTCTACTGTGCCATGTCTCAAATGCACACACGCACTGACACAGACACATGGACACATCCATCCATCCGTGGCAACACCCTGGACGGTCCGCCAGTCCATGGCAAGGCCACACAGAGACACACACAGACGAACACTTGGACACTCCTACATTATAACGATAAATTAAAAAACATCCTGGCAACCTAATTGTGAATGACCCAAACAGCTCATAGTGATTGATGGCATTGACTGGTGACTGGTGGGGCCAGCTCCAGAGGAGGCTGCGAGGGGTCACACAGACAGTTGCAGGGCCAAAATAGACACCTCTCCTCTTTTTCTCTCCCCCACCGGGTCAGTTTGTCTCTCAGCTCCGAGCTGTCGCTGTGACCTTACGTGTTGAATCACACAGGGTAGCGCTCTCACT